CACGCACACATATTAAACCCCCTCCCACATGCGCACGAACACACGTACACTTAAGCATATATACACGGCAAAGAGTAAGAGTATGTGTATGTGTGCGTATGCCTTTCCATTGGAGACTTTCAGCGCCGTGGAGAGGGGGGACCTGCTGCCTGGGTAACAGCTTCTCCCCCGAATCAACCTACCCTGGCTTTGCGCCCTGGTGAGGCCACTCCAGACCGACAACCAGAGCGCAACTCCATAGTCTCCTGAGACTGATGGATGCCTACTATACTTCAAGTACGCACACATACACATACTCTGTTTGAGAGGCGGGACCAAAGAGCCAGAGCTCAACCCCCGCAAGCACAACTAAGAGAGTACACACACACATGCAAACACAAACCTGACTTCCATCGGCCATCACAAGTGGCAAGATTTAATAACGAATATGAGATTGTGCCTCACCATTCACCCCCCACACCACAAAACACAATTACTATAACAAGTTGCAGATGGTGACAGACAGGGATAATTCACAGAAGACGATGGAGACAATGGTGGCTTTTGAAGAGAACGGATATTCTCCGGCAAGAACTGAAATAGTTGCTCTTGGCATTTCCAAGATCACATGAGGCTGAAGAAAGGTTAGTGAGAGGGGGGAGACTTTAGACAAAACCTGGAACAGTTCCGTCTAGCTGATGGTGTCATTACTGAACATAGAGTGTGATGGAGGCTCTGTGTACCAGCAAGTTTATCTCCTGTTATAGTTATTATTAAACAAGAAATGTGAACAAGTTTGAAAACAGTGAAGTGCAGCATTTCTATTGTTGAATTTTTAAATCCTGTTGATTTTACATGTGTTTTGTTGGCTTTAATTGCTCATATTAGGTGGATTATCTGACAATTTTTAACAGTTGGCAATCTTGCTGTAAATGTTTCTTGAATTTCAACCATCAACGTTTCTTGCAAGTGCTTGCCAGGTCCCAAAGGCTTGGGCACTAATGTTCTACATAATGGTGACACTTTAATATAGAACACATTTTGAAACATATGGGACGGACTTTATTTTATTTCCCGGTCAGGCAGAAAGCTACTCTGGAGTATGTTGACCAGACCACACACTAGAAAGTGAAGGAACCACGACGTTTCGATCTGTCCTGGACCATTCTCAAGTCGATCAAGTCATTCTCACAATCGACTTGAGAATGGTCCAGGACGCACCGGAACGTCGTCGTCCCTTCGCCTTCTAGTGTGTGGTCTGGTCAACATACTTCAGCCACGTTATTGTGACGCATCGCCTGCAGCTACCCTGGAGGCCATAAAGTGGTGGCAAGAGCAGGTGACCCCTAGCACAAGTAGTGGAGTCTGGCGGTGTTAAGAGAACGCGAGAGAGACGAGAAATGATAATAAGAGTAAGCGATGAACAAATCCACAAGGGCCGTGACGAGGATTCGAACCTGCGTCCGAGAGCATCCCAGACACTGCCTGAATCGACTGAGCTACGATAGGGTAAAAGGGTTGAAACCGAAGTTCTACTGAACTTACTGGATCATTTGATGCATCAAATGATTATGCATCATCAATCATCTTACTCATTTGATGCATTACGTTATTGTGATCCCTGTGTGTGAAGAGTAAGCGATGTTTTGAAAAATAGTAAAACAGGAAAATCCACGAGTTAATGAATTCGGACGAAAATTGAATGAAAAGTTTTTAGAAAACAGGAAGTCAGTTGGGAAAGACGTTAGAAAGTATAACAAGAAGACCCGCTGACAGAGCTAAAGAAAATATTAAAGATATACTTAGGGAGAATATTAACTGCTGAAGATAAAAATGTAGGTGTAGAAAGCATTTTGAAAGTCCGAATGGAGCAAGTGATGAAATAAATTGAAATATGAATACGAATGTATTTCTTGGTGTGAGAAGATTGCAAGATTGATATACCAGCAGTTAAGTATAGGGAAGAGATAAACATATAAATTCAAAAGCTGAAATATAGGAAAGGTGCAAGCATTGATGATTATGAAGAGGTGCTTTAATGCCGCGGAGAGCAGGAACTTGAGTGTGAGGATAATCTGCCTGAAGACATTGTGGGAAGCTGTACTAAGTCACCTCATTGGAAAAAGATCTGTTATTGTAATTTGATATGCAAAAAATAAAGGTAAAGGCATTTCATTTTCATCGGAAAATGTAATGGATGTTTATTCCACGAATGGTCTAGAAATGGCTGTGAAAATTGTGAATGACAGGAATAAACGGCTTATATTCGTTCCGTATATCCGTATATCAGCCGCATATTATATTATATATATATATATATATATATATATATATATATATATATATATATATATATATATATATATATATATATATATATATCAGCCGTATCAGAATGCGGCTGATGCAGTTCTTGTAGCAGACAATGATAGACATATATGAAGATTAGTTTAGTCTTTTCTTTACGCATATGATAGAAAACTGATGAACGTGAACATAAAGAAAAATAAGTACTTGTGATAAGTAACATTGAAAAAGAAACGAGAGTGAGGGGGAATGGTGGTGAAGGTGGAAGGTCCTGGGACTGGTCGCCCACGGGCTCACCATAGCCCGTGCTACTGGAACTTATTGTTCTGAATAGCTGAATCTAAAACAACAACAACAACGAATGGTCGCCCACATTACACGCCTCAGCTTTCATACTGATAACAGAGCAATTTGTGTAGGAGGTCGAGACAGCCCCGCTCCTGTGCCAGGTAAGTCCACTACGGGCTCACCATAGCCCGTGCTACTTGGAACTTTTGTTCCGAGTAGCTGAATCTAAAACAACATAGGAGGTCGAGAGCAGTGTCAGGGGGATAGGAGGAGCGGCTGCTGCATGACAGTCCAAGTTAGGAAGACTGGGATAGAAGTAGCTGAAGCAGCCATAGGGCAGGCGATGAGTCACAATAACGTGGCTGAAGTATGTTGACCAGACCACACACTAGAAGTTGAAGGGACGACGACGTTTCGGTCCGTCCTGGACCATTCTCACAATCGACTTGAGAATGGTCCAGGACGGACCGAAACGTCGTCGTCCCTTCAACTTCTAGTGTGTGGTCTGGTCAACAGCCATAGGGCAGCATCAAGGACTGGCTGAGCCAAAACTTACAGTACGAATACGAGTCGCTGGTGTCACTCAAACACATAAAATCAAGTTTGAATGATAGAAAAAAAAGAAGCGTAAATGCATTTGTGGCAAAAGTTAGATATAATACGGCATGAAAATGTAATGGATAACCGCGAAGTGAAAATTGTTAATGAACCGTAAAAGCAAAAAGAATTTAGCGAGATGGTCTCGTCATTTTGAACGTATGGATTACGATAGAATAGTTACGAGTGTATTCGAGTGAATTTGAAGGCAGGACGGAGAGAGAAAAACAAGATTATGATGGACAGACATAGTGACGGGATGTGTGAAGAAGCAGTGAGTGAAGAATGAATGAAGAATGATCCTTCATACACATAAAAGAAAGCTTCAGCTCTGCCATCAACACTTGGACAATGAATGCAAATTCACCCCTGTACTATGAATACACATTCACACCAGTACAATGAATGCACATTCACTCCTGTACAATGAATGCACATTCACACCTGCACAATGAATGCACATTCACTCCTGTACAATGAATGCACATTCACTCCTGTACAATGAATGCACATTCACTCCTGTACAATGAATGCACATTCACAGCTGTACAATTTGCAACCCTAATCATCAGCAAATGTTTAACATGATCTCCCCAGCTGGGCCTAGTCAATCGCACCTGTACACAATCGGCTCTTCAGGTTATTGAAATGTTCTTCATATATATCACCCACAACGAACAAAATGTTCTCTATATTGCCCTCATCTCAACAGAATGTTCTCCGGATCACTAAACATATCGTCTCTGTCTTTTGCTATAGCTTTCCACTGTTATATGTTCTTCACGCCACGACTGTGAACAGTGCCCGGCATCTAAGAACAGCCGGATGGTGAGAACACCTGCCAGTCGGAAGGTTAAGAACACCTGCCAGCTGGAAGGTTAAGAACACCTGCCAGCTGGAAGGTTAAGAACACCTGCCAGCTGGAAGGTTAAGAAACACCTGCCAGCTGGAAGGTTAAGAAACACCTGCCAGCTGGAAGGTTAAGAACACCTGCCAGCTGGAAGGTTAAGAAACACCTGCCAGCTGGAAGGTTAAGAACACCTGCCAGCTGGAAGGTTAAGAACACCTGCCAGCCGGAAGGTTAAGAACACCTGCCATATGGAAGGTTAAGAACACCTGCCAGCCGGAAGGTTAAGAACACCTGTCATATGGAAGGTTAAGAACACCTGCCATATGGAAGGTTAAGAACACCTGCCAGCCGGAAGGTTAAGAACACCTGCCATATGGAAGGTTAAGAACACCTGCCATATGGAAGGTTAAGAACACCTGTCATATGGAAGGTTAAGAACACCTGCCATATGGAAGGTTAAGAACACCTGCCAGCCGGAAGGTTAAGAACACCTGCCATATGGAAGGTTAAGAACACCTGCCAGCCGGAAGGTTAAGAACACCTGCCATATGGAAGGTTAAGAACACCTGCCAGCCGGAAAGTTAAGAACACCTGCCATATGGAAGGTTAAGAACACATGCCAGCCGGAAGGTTAAGAACACCTGCCAGCCGGAAGGTTAAGAACACCTGCCAGCAGGTGTTAACTTGGCAGAGCGTACATATGTAGCAACATGTAAATACTGAGAGCGAGACGGGCGGGGAGTTCTCTAGGGGGGGTCAACTATCAGGCCTAATTGCTGCCTAGTTAGATACCAGGATAGTTATCCTATCCTGGTATCCGGGCCAGGATAGTTATCCTGGCCCGGAAGCCAGTTGGTTAAACCTATCCTAATTTAATAACATTATTCAGCAACTTCTCGCGGAATCTTGACCAACTAAACTGTTACCTGACGCCCACCACAGCCTCTGCTGCAGCTGCCGCGTCAGGTAAATGTCTCACCTGAACTGGAGGTGGCTCCACGAGCTCGTTGGTGGCCACGTTGCCTGCCACCAGAGGGGTAGCGAGGGCCACTGGCACCAACCCCAGCAGCGCCAGGAAGGTCTTCACACTCACGGCCATCTTGACCTCAGAAGCTGGACAACACTAACACCCTGCCACAGTCACGCCTGCGAGGTAACTGAGTCCAGTTAGCAGGCGGTGGTGGTGGTGGCAGCGGCAGCCATGGTGACTGGTGACTTCACCTCGCGGGGGATTTTGACTGTTCCTTGTGTGCGTGTGTGGGCGCGCGTGCGCGTATGAGTAGCGGGGGGGATGGGGATGGCAGCGTCCTGACCTCAACACAACACTGTTTCTCTCGCGTTCCCTTTCTCTGTTAAGTGAGTCACCTCCAGAGCCTGAGTGTGGTGTGACGGTGGCGACGTGGTCCAGGGCCGTTTGCGGGTCACCTGAGGCGCTCGTGTCTTATAAACTTGTGGCCAGAAGGCCCCGCCCCGTCACGGGTGGTACGCAGGCGCGACGCCGCCCCCCTGGCCGCCCACATCCCACCCACACCACCCGACACGCAGCACACCCGGGTTCCTAGAACACACGCACCTTCTAAACACTGGTCAATTAACCCGATCGCTTGCATAACGTTTTCAACCTTCTCTTCGAGTTGTTTGGCGGCTTCTTCTCCTCCTCTAAGATCGTTTCCAGAATCATGTACAACACTGTGAGCTGTTCCGTATTTAACTCAAATGGTAAGTTAATGTGAGAAATTTTATTGAAGAAATGAATATTTTATGTTGACCAGACCACACACTAGAAGGTGAAGGGACGACGTCGTTTCGGTCCGTCCTGGACCATTCTCAAGTCGATTGGGCTAGATTGCAATATTTGATTGTCGATTGCAATATTTTACTTTTATGAACGTACAAGTTTGAAACTCTTAATTTTTTTTTAGAAACAATTATACAGTTGCCTTGTGAATAATAGTATAACACTGCTGATGAGTCAGGAGCCATGGGTGTGGCTCTACTCTCGGAGACTTCCATCAATGACGGTGGAAGTGAAGCTTCATAGGAAGATGAAGAAGGCTTTCAAATAGCCAGAAGCAGAGCAAATAGGAATCGGGGAAAAAACATCGATTGGCTGAATAGCAGCAATGACAACAAGCCGAATATGGTGAGTGGCACACCCCTAATCTTCTGTACAACAGATATGGGATCAGCAGAGATGTACAAATTGTTCATCAACGCCACCCCGCACCCCATAGAGGGCTTCTTGGTTATCTTGAGATGATTTCGGGGCTTTTTAGTGTCCCCGCTGCCCGGTCCTCGACCAGGCCTCCACCCCCAGGAAGCAGCCCGTGACAGCTGACTAACACCCAAGTACCTATTTTACTGCTAGGTAACAGGGGCATAGGGTGAAAGAAACTCTGCCCATTGTTTCTCGCCGGCGCCTGGGATCGAACCCAGGACCACAGGATCACAAGTCCCGCGTGCTGTCCGCTCGGTCGACCGGCTCCCGCATTGAAAGCAAATTTTCAGATAGCAGCGTCATTGTATGGGTGCTTGATGGCAGAGCCTTGCTGTTCTTCACGGAGACTGACCATGTTTATGAAGGTAAGAGTTTTAAATTGTTGGTAGCCAGCCCACAGACTAGACGGACCTAAATTATAATTAAGAACTTACGCTTCATGTTACCCAATTTACTGGGACATTATTAAAAGGAATGATTAAACTCAGTGAGATAATTAATTTACTTTAATGAATATAACACTTGACTTGTCAAACTCAGCAATGGAACAATCACTTTAATGAAATTCAGTCCACCAACTTTAGCATCAACTTTTCACTTAAAATAACACTTTGCTTAATTACGTTATTAACACCCAATTAATCAAAGAAACGGAGGACTCGGCCACACAACACATTTTCCCTATGACGGGTACTTGGAAAGCACTACTTACAGATACTTTTGATCCTCACCTCAAAACTGATGGAGTTCACCCAGGGTTGAGTGACACCGTACCTCAGGTGTCGGCTGGGGGGGGGGGGGGGGAAGACTGGCTTGGAGGTTCCGGCCCTCAAAAGTCTCTCATTGATGAAGTTTAAGCCACCACAAGAGGTGGCACGGGCATGAATAGCCCCTAGGTGGGAGATGTTTGGAGTGAATGTGGTCTTGGGTCGTGTGACATCTGGAAGTATCTCGTATGTGTCTCGTGTGTGTGTGTGTGTGTGTGTGTGTGTGTGTGTGTGTGTGTGTGTGCTCACCTAATTGTGTTTGCGGGGGTTGAGCTTTGCTCTTTCGGCCCACCTCTCAACTGTCAATCAACTGTTTACTAACTACTTTTTTTTCCACACCACACACACACACCCCAGGAAGCAGCTCGTGACAGCTGACTAACTCCAATGTACCTATTTACTGCTAGGTAACAGGGGCATTCAGGGTGAAAGAAACTTTGCCCATTTGTTTCTGCCTGATGCGGGAATAGAACCCGCGCCACAGAATTACGAATCCTGCGAGCTATCCACCAGGCTACCTGGCCCCTGTGTGTGTGTGTTTACTCACAACTAGGTGAATACACACACACACACACACACACACACACACACACACCAGTTGATTGACAGTTGAGAGGCGGGACCAAAGAGCCAAAGCTCAACCACCGCAAGCACAAATAGGTGAGTACACACATACACACACACACACACACACTATTCACTATTAACTATTATTAACTAATGTAATAATATTAACTATTAACTAACTATTCAACACTGGTGGTACGCGAACAAGGGGACACAGGTGGAAACTTAGTACCCACATGAGCCACAGGGACGTTAGAATGAACTTTTTCAGTGTCTGAGTAGTTAACGGATGGAATGCATTAGGCAGTGATGTGGTGGAGGCTGACTCCATACACAGTTTCAAATGTAGATATGATAGAGCCCAGTAGGCTCAGGAATCTGTACACCAATTGATTGACAGTCGAGAGGTGGGACCAAAGAGCCCGAGCTCAACCCCCGCAAGCACAACTAGGTGAGTACACACACACACACACTCCTAATGGGAGGCACTAGGAAGAGATGTGATGAAGGCAGACTTCATACACAGCTTCAAACGGGTCCGTCTAATTACACAAAGCCTCCAAGCATTACGTAAGTAATGAAGAAATATGACATTTACTCACTATAATGTTGGTGCCGAATGTAGAACATGAAAAAAAAAAACTGGTTTTCCCCTGATATAACTTAATTTTATAACGATATTAAGTCCATCTAATTTCCCAAAGCCACAACATTGTCGCTTGGATCGTCGACTTCCTATGGCGTCATCTGCCACCTAGTTTAGTCTAATTTCGTTATAAAATTATATTATTTCAGAGTAAAATGATGTTTTTCATGTTCTACATTCAGCACCAAGATTATAGTGAGTAAATATGTCATATTTCTTCATTACTTACGTAATGCTAGGAAGCTTTGGGTAAATAGACGGACCCGTTTCAAATGTAGATATCATAGAGTCTAATAGACTCAGAAATATGTACACCAGTTGATTGACGGTAGAGAGGCGGGACCAAAGACCCGAAGCTCAACCCCCGCAATCACAACTAAATGAGTACACACACACACACGTGTGTGTACTCTCGTGTGAGTACACACGTGAGAACACGTACATAGGGACCACGTACAGAGGGACCACGTACATCTCCCATTGTTACAATATCATCCCTGTCACCAGTCATATCTTTGCCAACAGTATTCCGAACAGCAGCATCAACAACCATAATAGCAGCCGTAGCAACAGTAGTAGAAGTAGCAGTTATAGTTACGTGCAGGCCTGCTGCGTGTTACAGCAGTCCCAGCCTGCTCACAGCCCCAGCCTGCTCAAATGGCCCCCCCTCACCGGTCCTACCGGCCGGGTCCGCCCATGACCACCCGCCTGGAGTCCGGCCGCTGGAGTCCGGGAAGGTCATAACCCGGCCTCACTAACCCCCTCCTCTCTTGACTCAGCACACTGCCCTGCCGACCATTACTGAGAGTGACGCCGCGCGATGGGGAATTACACGGTCTTCACACCCGTCCGCGAGTGTTGGAGAGGTATATTGGAGTGTACGGGAACCTGGCGACACTTCCCCGTGTACGGGGACCTGGCGGCACTTCCCCGTGTACGGGAACCTGGCGACACTTCCCCGTGTACAGGGACCTGGCGGCACTTCCCCGTGTACGGGGACCTGGCGGCACTTCCCCGTGTACGGGGACCTGGCGGCACTTCCCCGTACGGGGACGGGGACCCCCGTGTACGGGGACCTGGCGACACTTCCCCGTGTACGGGGACCTGGCGGCACTTCCCCGTGTACGGGGACCTGGCGGCACTTCCCCGTGTACGGGGACCTGGCGGCACTTCCCCGTGTACGGGGACCTGGCGGCACTTCCCCGTGTACGGGGACCTGGCGGCACGGGGACCTGGCGGCACTTCCCCGTGTACGGGGACCTGGCGGCACTTCCCCGCGTACGGGGACCTGGCGGCACTTCCCCGCGTACGGGGACCTGGCGGCACTTCCCCGCGTACGGGGACCTGGTGGCACTTCCCCGCGTACGGGGACCTGGTGGCACTTCCCCGTGTACGGGGACCTGGCGGCACTTCCCCGTGTACGGGGACCTGGCGGCACTTCCCTGTGCCCCAGGAGCTGCTGGGGGCACGTCCTTGTCTATGGGAGAGTCGGGGACATGTCCTCGTACACCAGGAGCTGGGGACACATGTCCTCGTACACCAGGAGCTGAAGACACATGTCCTCCTCTGTATATCCCCCCGCTGTACTCTAGTATAAGCTGTAAGATTTTTGTAATTCAAATGTCAACATTTCGAGCTAACAAACATGTGAACAACATATGTCATAATACGGCTCCTGATATTAAGGGAAAATGTGCTGTACTCTGTCTGGCATTACAGAGCAATGTATGATTGGGGTAATGTGCCTATTACTGAAGAACACTATACGGTGTGTTCTAAATTAAGCAAAAATCTTCTGCGCGCCCTTTATTAATACCTCGGTGATTGATCTGATTGTTGCCCCCAGCAGAGGTTTGTTTGATCGTGCGCCCCTGACTCACTGTATGAGGCGGGAGCTCGAAAGGACCACGTACAGAAGAACCACGTACAGAGGGACCACGTACAGAGGGACCACGTACTGAAGGACCACGTACAGAAGGACCACGTACAGAAGGACCACGTACAGAGGGCTCAGAAGATCTTAATCCAACCTCAGAAGGTGTTGTTCGACAGTGTTGTCATTTTCATGCACCTAGTTTGTGTTGTAACTGATATGTATAGCCGGGTAACATTGGAGTTAAGTCGTCGAGACGAATGATATCTATCGTCATGATAGATATCGCATTAATCTTATTGTTGCTGGTTTAACATAAATTTTGACAGCATATCCATCCATGGATTTTCCATGGAGTTTATCGTTTATCTTTAATGCTGACTTAAGATATTACAGTCAAAGACCCCGAATCTATTTTGTAATAAACTCGTTGGATTTGTAAAGCGCATTAGATGAAAAACATTGCATAAGTTACATATATAATTTTGTTAAATACGTTTCCAGGCTTTTCTTCGGGAAGCTTGGTTGTGTGGTGTAGGAAGCGAGGCTTCAAACAGTTTTACCATTTTGTGTTGATTTAGTATATTATAATCTTTACCTGTTTTAATAAGAACGACTCGTATGGTGGAACTGGCCTGCAAATTCCTCTGTTCTTGTGTTTAGATGTCTAGCTAAGTTCTTTCAGTCTTCGATCATGATGTTCCTAACTACGTCTGACTTGTTAAAATATGTTCCTTTTATTTTTGTTTGGTTCCTTGATATTAAGAAGCTAATAGATTATAGTTAGAGGATTAAGCCCTATTAATTTATTAATAGATTAATTAATAGGGCTTAATCCTAGGGTTCAATTAATTTAGATTAATTCCCAGCGTGATCATACACAAAATTCCGGGTTCGAATCCCAAGCAGGAAGAAAAGGTTGGGTGCATTTCGTATCACTAAATGCGTCTGTTCAGCCAGCAGTAAGTAGGTACTCAGGAGTTAGTCAGCTTGTTGTAGGGTTGCACCCTGGGCGGGGTCAGTAATTCGACCTTGGTGGGAGACTTAGATATAAGACTAACATGTACGGTATGTACCGGGTTCCAGTACTAACATGTACTGAAACCCGGCTTTCTGTCTCCCGACACAATGAATTATTATTTATTATTCAGATCCATAACAAACTCTGTCTTCATACAACAAACAACCCCTCTATTTAAGTCCCTAAACATGTTAAACATACACTCCACACATTCTCATGTGCTCTCTACATGTACAAAACCTTGATCCTAAATGATAATCTTGATCTGAAACTTTTCCTTGATAGGTGTAATAGAACCCATGAGCAACCCACCAGAAATTAATATATCTTTGATATCCCCAGAGTCAGACTAAATGTGTGCGCAGACACTCCATTCAAATAAATGGGCCAAGTCTTTGGAACTCTCTCCCTGATGAATTAATAAATTGTCCAACCCATCCCCTGTTCAAAAGTAAAATGAAAAATTACCTAATTTCATCCTCATAGTTTCCTATCTTGTGCTTCAAATTCACACTATATCTTGTACTACCCACTTCCTCAATATTAGTACTTAAGACATATATCACCAGTGTAATCACCTCTGTCAACTTATGGTGTAGTTATCTCTTGATATAAAACCTTGCTACAATATACCCTTTTATTTTACCTGATATGTTAGATTAAGGAGCTGCCCGAAACGCTATACGTGTACTCACCTAATTGTACTCACCTAATTGTGCTTGCGGGGGTTGAGCTTTGGCTCTTTGGTCCCGCCTCTCAACTGTCAATCAACTGGTGTACAGATTCCTGAGCCTACTGGGCTCTATCATATCTACATTTGAAACTGTGTATGGAGTCAGCCTCCACCACATCACTTCCTAGTGCATTCCATTTATTAACTACTCTGACACTGAAAAAATTCTTTCTAACGTCTCTGTGGCTCATCTGGGTACTAAGTTTCCACCTGTGTCCCCTTGTTCGTGTCCCACCCGTGCTGAAGAGTTTGTATTTGTCCACCCTGTCAATTCCCCTGAGAATTTTGTAGGTGGTTATCATGTCTCCCCTTACTCTTCTGTTTTCCAGGGATGTGAGGTTCAGATCCTTTAGCCTTTCCTCGTAGCTCAATCCTCTCAGTTCCGGGACGAGCCTGGTGGCATACCGCTGAATCTTCTCTAACTTTGTCTTGTGTTTAACTAGGTATGGACTCCAGGCTGGAGCTGCATACTCCAGGATTGGTCTTACATAAGTGGTATACAGGGTTCTGAAAGATTCCTTACACAAGTTTCTGAAGGCAGTTCTTATGTTGGCCAGTCTAGCATATGCCGCTGATGATATTCTTTTGATGTGGGCCTCTGGGGACAGGTTCGGTGTGATATCAACCCCCAGATCCTTCTCTCTATTTGATTCTTGCAGGATTTCCCCTCCCAGATGATACCTTGTGTTCAGCCTCCTGCTCCCTTCGCCTAATTTCATCACCTTACACTTTCCAGAGTTGAACTTCAGCAGCCATTTTCTAGACCATTCCTCCAGTTTATCCAGGTCATCCTGTAGTCTCTGTCTATCTTCATCCGTCTTGATTCTTCTCATAATTTTTGCATCATCAGCAAACATCGAGAGGAATGAGTCTATACCCTCTGGAAGATCGTTCACATATATTAGAAACAGGATGGGTCCAAGTACTGAGCCCTGTGGGACTCCGCTGGTGACATCTCGCCACTCTGATGTCTTCCTCCTCACCGTTACTCGCTGTTTCCTGTTGCTTAAGTACTCCCTTATCCACTGGAGCACCTTCCCTTTTACTCCTGCCTGTTGCTCCAACTTTTTTAACAGCTTTGAATGTTAGTGGCTTTGAATGAATGTAAAAATACAAAACTTGTGTAATCTCACCAACCCATTGTACCTTCTTGCAAATAAATTATTATTATTATTAAATTCTCAATATCCTCTGGTTATCCTCAGTCTTGCCTTGGAAGCGGTATCCGTTTTCTTCAGTGAATTATGAAGTTCTCTGTTTTAAAGGATAACTGCATTATATGTTTTAATTTAGTTTTTGGTTAAAGAGATGAACTGGCTTGTTGTCAACAAACTGTGTCAACAAAATTATTCCCACACCCTCCGTCACTATGTAATGGAGTGCGAAAAGATACGTGAATTCAGAGACAATTCTTTAACAAATGTTCAAGAGATATTTACATATTTCATTCAAAAAAGATCTGCTGCCAGAAATCTTAGCCATATATCCGCAGTTTGCTAACTGTAGGTAGTAACTAAGTGATTGTAACCTATCCACCGCTGCCCACTGGATGGGGAGCGGTGTGCAGGATTAACATATCAATTGTGACACTAGCTCTCCACATATGTCAGCTTAATTTAGAAACTGTACTTGCGTTCGGTCTCGAGCCCATTCTTGATGTGACGATGTGCATTGAATTTTTGTAACTAGCTCATCAAGATTGTAACTTGCTTAGCTAAATGAATTGTGGGGTTCAGTCCCTGAGCCCATTATGTACCTCTGTAACCCTTTCCACTACCGCCCACAGGATGGATATGGGGTGCTTAAAAAATAAACTAAACTAAACTTAGACAGAAAACCATTAAAAGGCTTAATTGGCTCATTTCCCGTAACCAAACACAGTATCATATTAATTCGACCATCATATCAATTACTTCCCTCAATTCAGCCCAAGTGATGCAATAACAACCTCAAAGTCATTATTTTCCGTGACCTATAAAATTGGCAATCAAAAATCCTTGATGAACTTTAAGCCACAGACAGCATATAAAGCACTCTTATATAAGAACTTAAATATGCTAACTATACAGCCACTGCACACGTTCCCATGTGCTCTATATACCTCCAACGGTCTACATTACAGCAAACTCATGCTAAACATAGAAAAGATCCATTTAATTTTATTTTGAAGCAAATTGTCGAACCAAACACCTTCAGTTAGAAAAAGTTAGCATTAGTAGTTAAACCGGAGGAAAGAAGAAACACAAAATATTAATTATTTCCGATGAAATTATATAGAAATATTCTGCAACTCTGATCAAGATAGTACAAAGTTAGAAAATAAATTTAATTAGAAAGTGTTGAGCTTTCAACACACAATGATAGGAAAGATTCCCTGATATTCTGAAGAAAGCCAAAGTAACCCCCAATTTTGAAAGTGAAAATCATACAGCCACAACTGTTGGCAAATATTCAACTGATCCATAGTTAGTTTAGTTCATTTATTATGCACCCCATACCCATCTTGTGGGCGGTAGTGGAAAGGGTTACAGAGGCACATAATGGGCTCAGGGACTGAACCACACAATTCATTTAGCTAAGCAAGTTACAATCTTGATGAGCTGATCCATATTATCTAAAATATTTGAGAAACCGATAAAAATATCTAAAAATATATATATATCCTACTAAATAACGTAAGTACTGTTTCATATCTATTAATACCACAGAGTGTAGACTATAAGCCAAGTGCCCATTTATTCTACATTAAATTAATATTATCTGCCTGAAACACTATGCATATTATTGACTTTGCAAGAATGTAAGAACACCAATGTTATGCACTCCCAAAAACCCAGTGTATCTTCTTGTATAAAAATAAATATATATAACAAACATTTGAACCCTTCAAGCGCCTTTACTGTCAGTTTAAGTTGAACGTAAAGTGTTCTTAAAGCGGCGAGTGTTCCGTGTTTTGTTCCAGACAAAAGGAACTGTAATTTTGTTCTGGGCGGATGTTATTATCAGTCAGGTATGAAAGCTACGTAACAGAATTATCGTGAGTCAGTGAATGATAAAGATAAAGCCACCCAAGAGGCGGCACGGGCATGAATAACCCGTAAGTGAGTCAGTGAATGTGACACGAATAAATACCTGTGCCTCATGTGAAGGTGGGGGAGGGAGGGGGGGTGTACGGGGGAGGGAAGAGGGGTAGGGTTCAAATACATATCAAAATGTGTCGATAAGCAGCGATAAGGCGTATCAGAGATGGCTGTCAGAGAGTTTTCCGGAGAGTTACCTTCAGTCACCAGCCGGCCTGATCGAGGAGTCCGGGGACCCCACAACACATCGTCCTGCACCAACATCTCTCAAGTTATATTTGACTAATTCCTTAAAAAAGAAAGTAAGAGAGAGAGAGAAAGAGTGAGAGGTGTGAATATAGATAATACCGTGTGTATAACTGTATGATAACTCTGCCTTGTGAACAAGTGACTACATATGGCATCAATATTACAATGGTTTCTTAAACACCGAGATCAGTGAAGTGTCGGCTGCATCTGATGTGCTTACGATTTGATACAGAAATTTGGAACTCTGTATAGAATTTGTTTACAAATGAAAGTGTGACATATTACAGAAAGAAGAAGACTTGAACAACACTTTGCCCTCAACACTAAGTCGCCCACGTGGGTCCTCACTACCCACACGTCATGCACGTCATCAAGACGTTAGTGGGGACCTCTAACAAGGCCTGAGGGGACTATAGAGCACAGAGTGCCTGGGGCGGGTGTAAGTACAACTAAGTCTTCACTGGAACAGGTCGTGTGTGAAGGACAGTGTACCTCCACTTACCTTAATATGGTCCAGGTGGAATGGTCGTGTACATAAAGAAATAAATCACTCACATCGGTCTGGCTCAGTGTGGAAATCATATATAGGTTACACAGTGTTTATCTTGCGAGGAGGTCTTAAAGAAATATCCCTGGCGAGTACTGACGGACAGTGTATCAACACCACAACTGACTACACTCAATAATTTACACCAGATATACACGAGGACCACAGCAACTTTCCTTGAACTAACACACCCGGACGCTCAATGTAGCGATGCGAAAGTAACGAGGTAACCTGACGCCCAGGCACGTAATATACAGTCAGGATCCTTCCCCAGTTAATGAAGGCACCTGATTCACATTTTGCACCAGGAAATAACTGCATATTCTATCAGTGACAGCCTCGGAGGGCTTGCTTCATCACGTGAGGCCACGATGCCGTCTCCGCCGCCCTGGTGCCGGCGACCACCGCACACGCCTCACTAATACCTAGTTATTCCACCAGTGAAGAGCAACTTAAACGCTGATAATATATTTATATGTCCGCACGGGGAACGTAGTTGCAGAGATGGTGCGGTGGCCGTTCAGGAAGACAAAGGTGAGTGGCGTTACCTTCCTGTTGCTGCCACATTTTGGCGGATTTGAGCGTTCACACATGTAAACACACACACACACACACACACACACACACACACACACACACACGTGTACACACACCCACACACATGCACACACACACACACACACACACACACACACACACACACACACACACGTGTACACACACACACACACACGTGTACACACACCCACACACATGCACACACACACACAAAGGGCCAGGGTTCAATACTCGGCCGAAGCAGAAACAAATGGGCAGAGTTTATTTCACCTGATCATTCTGTTCACCTAGCAGTAAACAGGTAACTGGAAATTAGACAGCTACTAAGGCAGCTTCCTGGGGATGTGAATGTATATGTGTGTGTATATGTGTGTGTGTTAGAGAGAAATATATGTGTGGACATAATACAGGACAAATAAACTGGTTAGAAAGGCGGGTTCCAAGGGCTAATATCTCGATTCTGCAGGCACAAGATGTAAATACAAATAGTAAATACACACACACACACACACACACACACACACACACACACACACACACACATTTGGGAGGAGAGACCAAAGAGCCCAAGGTCAACCCTCGTAAGCACATACGAGCTCACACAAACTCAACTGAACCTTTTTTAGACGTCTATTTTGTTACACATTCTCTCGTCGTCCGGACAAATGTGTGCAACATTTCGACAACACCAAATATGTCTAATGCCTCACACTCTTAGAGTACCAGTTACGTGTAAGACTTGAGAACGTCACATACCGGAGAACAAAAAGTACTAAAAAAAAAAAAAAAAAAGAGTCACGGAATACGGTAATATCTAAGTCATGCCTTAAAACATTCCATACCAAAGATTTTCTGGTGAAATGAATACCGTGAAGAATTACGAGTGACAACCAACCACCAGATCGTCCCCTGGCCACGCCCACCTATCCCCATCTTACCCATCCCCTGTCCACCTGTCCCCACCCCAGGTCCTCCTACGTGATACACTCCACTATCCTCCCCCACTTGCAACACCGAGGGCATGGTGGCAATGGGCGGGGAGGGGGTAGGAGAGCTTATCACATACATGTGTTATCAGTGTATACTGCCCCCCCCCCGCCCCCCTACTCTTATCTCCCCATAGCACCCAACTTCAACACTTACCGTGCCACTAAACATTCACCCATCCTCCCCACCCCCTTCAACCCATCCTCCCCACCCCCTTCAACCCATCCTCCCCACCCCTTCAACCCATCCTCCCCACCCCCTTCAACCCATCCTCCTGTTTTGATGGTACTTTTTGGAACTATGTGGACAATCGTAAACATATTGACGCAATGGACAGATAGAAGAGTTTGGTACTATTCACTGTATATGCAGGGGATAAGTCACAATAACGTGACTGAAGAACGTTCGACTTGAGAATGGCCCAGGACGGACCGAAACGTCGTCGTCCCTTCACCTTCTAGTGTGTGGTCTGGTCAACATTCACTCTATAGTTTCCAGAAAAGCTACAACTAAAATCCAAACTTAAATATTCCTAGTCCTAGTATAGCATACATATGCACTATGTTAGCCCTCACATAGCGTGAATTAGGCCTTAAATGGTTAGGTTTAATTAGTAACATAAACACAAAAATTTTCCTGTTTGTCCAAATTCAATAGTAAATTCTACTTTCTAATTGTCCAACCCAAGACTCTTCTACAAATTAGAGGTATTATCAAGCAACATCACCGTGACAAGGTACCTGAGGAAAGGAGGATAGAAGAACAAATCAGACAATCTGTACGGTGGAACAATGTGGTTGCTGCTGGCAATCCCAATCATTATGGACGAAGAGAAGGTGGCCGCGGGAGAGAATTAATAATAGCAAGAATTTGTCTTGGATTCAAATATCCATGGAGATTCGGGATGGAAACAACAGTTGAGCAGCGAAGCTGCAGAATCTTTGGTGAAAGTGACGGACACCGCCTTGACCACTATCTGAGAGAATGTGAACATCTAAGAGACATTAGAAATATGTGTAGAACAAACAAATCCACAAGGGCAGTGACGAGGATTCGAACCTGCGTCCAAGAGCATCCCAGACGCTGCCTTAATCGACTGAGCTGATCTGGGATGCTCTCGGACGCAGGTTCGAATCCTCGTCACGGCCCTTGTGGATTTGTTCATTTGATGCATGACGCAATTGTCATTTCTGTGTGTAATGTGTAGAATAATAAATCCCACATTGTTTGAGATTGGAAAATACTATTTGTTAAATATAGATACTGTTGATAAGATTCCCCTATTTTGCACCCGAATAATAAGACGAATTTTAGGGGTTGACAAATGTTAATCTCCTTGTTACGCTGTTCACCTGAGACAGTTAAGCAAGTCCCAGCTGTGTCTAGGTACAAGTGACAGGATGAACAACCCAGCGAGTTTTCTTCCTGTTGGAGAGTGTTGTACATGCTGCTATGGCGGTATGTCCACTCCCTCGGAGCAAAATTATTAAAAGAATAATGCCTTCCGTGCTGACACGTGGTATGGTGATGGACTGCTGATTGGTAATCAGGATTCGTTGGCGGGTATGACGCACCTGGTGATCAAAGTCCTCTCGTTGGCGTTTCACACACGCTTTCAGATAGTTCACGTTGGGGAGGACCACACACTTGAAGATCCTGCAGCAAGACAAGTCGAACAACACGCACCTGAAGTCTTGTTCAACACGCACCTGAATTCTCGTTACCTTGACAAACCATGTTGCGGCGATCACGCGGACAGCACTGTGGCAACGCTTGACAATGTTCAACCCGACCTCGACTCACGTCCATTACATCCAGCTGTCGACCCCACAGAAGCATTCATAAATTTGTACATACTGTTCATTCAAAACGGGAATTTTCTCAAATATAAATTAATAATATAATATATTAGCGTACTGTGCATATATAGGCATAGGTTATGTTAGGTTAGGTTAGGTGTTAGATTCGGTTAGGGGTTATTTGTATTTGTAGTACGTGGGTGAAGCATTTATAGCGTTGTGGTTCGAACAAAATTCGTCAGTGAAACACTTGTTCCGGATATGTTCAAACGTCAGCAGTTGTGAGTCGTGTGTAAATCGCTTTTCATTCATAAACAGGGGGTTTGGCGGGTGCATGGAATCACTTTTGGATCTATGTTTGGAGGACGGGCTGCCAACCCCCCTGTTTATGAATGAAAAACGGTTTACACACGACTCACAACTAATGACGTTCGAACACTTCCGGAACAAGTGCTTCACACTGAGACGAAACCTGCTTGATCTATGCACAATCGAGTGTGACCAGAGGACGGGTCGGGTTGCGTGGTGACCGCTGGCCGGTCGGACGTTCCTGAGGTCTCTCCGCACTGGCTAGTGTTTACGTTGGGTGATCGCTTGTTTGCCCTGCTGGTGGTGGTTTGCCACTGACGGGTGACGTTTGCTTCGCCATGGGGACGTTTCGCCCTCCATTGCAGAGGACGCTGTCAGCTGGTCTGGCGTTTATGGTGCCGGTGGACCATCCATTGGTTGGTGTCGCCCTAGTAGACGTGCTGCATGTGCAGCTGTCTGACCTGGTGGGCATCCAGCTGCTTCAGGGCCACCGTGCTGTGGTCAAGTTCCGCCTCCAGGCTGCCTTTCAGGAGTTTCTCGAGCGGTGTGAGGGGCGTGTTTACCCTCTCCCTGATTCAGCTGGCTCAGTTAAGGTAGTGAATCTTAGTGTCACCTTGACGTCTGTGACGGTGCATGGTGCCCCCTTCGAATTTCAGGACGACTTTTTAACCTCCTGTTTCGAACGGTTTGGGACAGTGTTGAGTGTTCGTTGGAACAAGGTCGTTGCCGGGCACTGTGTTGGTATGCTTGACGGCTCCCGTACCCTGACGATGTCGCTGAAGGGTAGTGTACCGTCGTCGATGTCCGTGTTGGGATACACGCTCCGCTGCCAGTACCGGGGTCAACGCGCGCACCTGTTATCGGTGTGGTCTCGAGGGTCATCTGGCTGCTGCGTGCGACGTGGGAGCGACTGGTCGTGTGCATGTTCTTCGTGCGGAGGATTTTCCGCCCCTGTTGCGTTCGGGCGGTGTAGGTACTGTGCCTGAGGAGCCTGCCTGCCTGTCTGCTGCTCCGCCTGTTGAGGAGAGCTCTCCGGCCTGTGCGACACGTCTAGTGCCAGCTGTGGCCCCTGGGGTTGTTCCGCCGGTGTGTGAGGGTGTCGGGCTGTCGCCTGAGCTGTGTGTAGTGAAAGGTGTCCCGGTGGAGGTTCATGTTCTGCCCCCGCCTGTGGATGTGTTACCGGCTCCCGGGGACGCGGGTTCTGCCGTTTTGGAGGGGGTGCTTCGTGGTGAGGTGCCTGCCGTGCCTGTGTGTGTTGCCTCCTGTAGTTCTGCTCTTCCCATTCCTTTGCAGAAGCGTGCGCGTCGGTGTTCTGAGGCTGTTTCCGTGGATGATGTAGACAGTGTGGGTGATGTGGCCTCTGTGGACTCTTCGGACGGTGCGGGTGTGGCCTGTGTGGATATGACGGTGGAGACTGTGCCTGCGGCGGGGCCTGCTGGGCGTGGTGTGGTGCGGCCTGTCTCGAAGCGTTCGCGGCGGGCTCGGACTGTCTCCCCCCTTCGTGGTGTGCCTTGGGAGGAGGTGGGGGAGTATGGTGCTCAGCTGGCGTCCCCCGCCGAGGATGATGGTGCTGTGAGGGGCTCCGACGTTGCTCCCTGTGCCCCGCCTCCTGCGTCTCCTGCTGTTGGGTCCCCGCAGTGGGGGGTTGTCCCTGATGGTCGGGACCTCGTCGTGAAGTTGCGGAAAGATGTGCGCCAGGGAGCCTCGGCTCCTGTGCCCTGTGGTGGGGTCGCTGCCGTGCCTGCAGTTCCCCCTCCTTCCTTGCCCCGGTCTGGGGGTTGCCTAGTCCCGTCTGCTGGGGTCGTGCCCTGTGAGGGTCCGGAGTTGGGCCCTTATCGGGATGCCCGGGTGCTTCCGATCCCGTGGTGCTCGTCAACCATCTGGGTGTCGTCAAAGAAGGAGTTTGTTTATAGGGTGCCGGATAGGATGTCTCAGCCGAAGGTACAGCCTGATGGCCGGCTGCCCGCCGACCTGTGGGTGGTTTGGGAAGCGTATCGCTTGCGCTTTCCGTACCGTAAGTTTCCGGAGAAATATTAGTTCCCGTCTTGCGCGCACCGCTACGCCGTGCCTGGATCAGCTGCCACCGTGACCATGACGCCCCGCCCCCCGGTGCGGGGAGTCTCCCTCTGACGTTCGCCTCTGTTTTCGTCGCCACTCCTCTCTCTACGGCCCATCACGTCTACCGCTTTTGACTTTCTTCTCCTCTTTACCATCAACGCGTCTCCTTACATCTGTCCTGGTGCAGTCATCGGGAGGGATACCCCTTCATGCAAACTGCACCTATTCTCAAGAAGAAGAAGATCTATGCACATTATTAACGATTTAATGAGATGCACTCTTGGAGGCGATCGTTCAGGACGGCAGCCCGTCCTCCAAACAAAGATCCAAAAGTGATTCCATGCACCCGCCAAACCCCCTGTTTATGAATGAAAAGCGGTTTACACACGACTCACAACTGCTGACGTTTGAACATATCCGGAACAAGTGTTTCACTGACGAATTTTGTTCGAACCACAACGCTATAAATGCTTCACCCACGTACTACAAATACAAATAATCGCCAACAGAACCTAAACACCTAACCTAACCTATGCCTATATATGCACAATATGCTAATATATTATAATATTAATTTATACTTGAGAAAATTCCCGTTTTGAATGAACAGCATGTTAAAATTTATGAATGCGTCTGTGGGGTTGACCGCTGGATGGAATGGACTTGAGTCGAGGACAGGTTGATCTATGCACATTATAAACGATTTCATGAGATGCACTCTTGGAAGCGATCACTCAGGACGGACACACTGTTATCCACTCAACTCGCCTCATTAACACTTGTGGAAGTTGACTCCCACCCCAAGTGTGTGCGTGTACTATTTATGCTTGCAGGATCGAACTGTTAGCTCTTGGACCCCGCCTTTGTAACTTGTCGCGTGTCTAATGTACTTACTGTGTACTGTATACTCACCTAGTTGTGCTTGCTTCATTACCTCCACTTCCACATCAACCCATTTACACCCAAGACTCACACTGAACAAGTGTTTCCTTACACCCAGATCATGTATACCAGTACACAAAATAATGGGTTGAATAAATAAATATATTAGCAAATGTAAAATTAAAGTAATTGATCGAAGGTCGAGAGGTCGTACCTTTGACCTAATCTAACTCTTAGTTCTCTTTGTCCACTGACGCTGTCCGGCTGACGCCTGCTGACAGCAGCAGTTGGTGACCACTCGGACGGTGCTGGTGAACCGCCAGGCACCGGAGGAGATGACGGAGCCGCCCGCACCGCCCCGCTACTGCCACAACAGGATCAAGACCTCCAAGGTGAAAAGCTTGTTGTCTCCTGGGTGGGACGCCACACCTGGCTGCCACGGCGGCCTGTGTCAGTGTTGCCTGTGTCAGTGTTGCCTGTGTCAGTGTCGCCTGTGTCAGTGTTGCCTGTGTCAGTGTTGCCTGTGTCAGTGTTGCCTGTGTCAGTGTTGCCTGTGTCAGTGTTGCCTGTGTCAGTGTTGCCTGTGTTAGTGTTGCCTGTGTTAGTGTCCCCTGTGTCAGTGTTGCCTGTGTGAGTGTTGCCTGTGTCAGTGTTGCCTGTGTCAGTGTTGCCTGTGTTAGTGTCCCCTGTGTTAGTGTCCCCTGTGTCAGTGTTGCCTGTGTCAGTGTTGCCTGTGTTAGTGTGTCAGTGTTGCCTGTGTCAGTGTTGCCTGTGTCAGTGTTGCCTGTGTTAGTGTCCCCTGTGTCAGTGTTGCCTGTGTCAGTGTTGCCTGTGTTAGTGTCCCCTGTGTCAGTGTTGCCTGTGTGAGTGTTGCCTGTGTCAGTGTTGCCTGTGTGAGTGTTGCCTGTGTCAGTGTTGCCTGTGTCAGTGTTGCCTGTGTCAGTGTTGCCTGTGTCAGTGTTGCCTGTGTCAGTGTTGCCTGTGTTAGTGTCCCCTGTGTCAGTGTTGCCTGTGTGAGTGTTGCCTGTGTGAGTGTTGCCTGTGTCAGTGTTGCCTGTGTCAGTGTTGCCTGTGTGAGTGTTGCCTGTGTGAGTGTTGCCTGTGTCAGTGTTGCCTGTGTGAGTGTTGCCTGTGTGAGTGTTGCCTGTGTCAGTGTTGCCTGTGTCAGTGTTGCCTGTGTCAGTGTTGCCTGTGTCAGTGTTGCCTGTGTCAGTGTTGCCTGTGTGAGTGTTGCCTGTGTGAGTGTTGCCTGTGTCAGTGTTGCCTGTGTCAGTGTTGCCTGTGTCAGTGTTGCCTGTGTGAGTGTTGCCTGTGTGAGTGTTGCCTGTGTCAGTGTTGCCTGTGTTAGTGTCCCCTGTGTCAGTGTTGCCTGTGTGAGTGTTGCCTGTGTGAGTGTTGCCTGTGTCAGTGTTGCCTGTGTGAGTGTTGCCTGTGTCAGTGTTGCCTGTGTCAGTGTTGCCTGTGTGAGTGTTGCCTGTGTCAGTGTTGCCTGTGTCAGTGTTGGCTGTGTCAGTGTTGCCTGTGTCAGTGTTGCCTGTGTCAGTGTTGCCTGTGTGAGTGTTGCCTGTGTGAGTGTTGCCTGTGTGAGTGTTGCCTGTGTGAGTGTTGCCTGTGTGAGTGTTGCCTGTGTGAGTGTTGCCTGTGTCAGTGTTGCCTGTGTTAGTGTCGCCTGTGTCAGTGTCGCCTGTGTCAGTGTCGCCTGTGTCAGTGTCGCCTGTGTTAGTGTCGCCTGTGTCAGTGTCGCCTGTGTCAGTGTCGCCTGTGTCAGTAGCGGTCAGTGCCATCTGTATCAGTTGCTGTGAGTGTCGTCTGTACCTCACATGAGCGTGCTCAGGGTTTTTTGTACAATTAGAAGACAATGTGGCATACATCAGTGGATGTTGGTTCCTGGTTCCCTGGTTCCTGTTAACAGGAACCAAGGAAAGCCATGTAGGCAGAGAGGAGTGTGGCAGGAGGGGTCACTGTGTCCCGTATCAGCAGTAATATAGGGATTAAGATCACCAAACATACCGGTGGGCTTCACACCACACTCGGTGCTGACAAAAGCTGATCTCTATTCACAGTAGCTTTTGCGAGCACTAATGTAGCGCCTCTTATCTCCCTTATCGCTGGAGACAGGCGTTGCCTTGGTAGCTGCCTCAGTCACTCGTGAAGCTCCAAAAGATCTCATTATCTGTGTATCTTCCCATAGTGTTATCATGTAATGTTAACGTGGCTGAATACGTTTTCATGACCGAATTCACACTCTTAATATTCGATGCGACAGAGATCGATATTAATCATCTGCTCTGTCTGTGTCTGTCCGTCCGCAACCCGTCCTCAGACAAAAGTCCATTCCATCCAGCGGCCGACCCCAAAGACGCATTCGTAAATTCTACCATGCTGTTCATTCAAAGCAAGACTTTTTTCAAATATAAATAAATATTGGAATATATTAACATATTGTGCATATTTAGGCATTGGTCAGGTGTTTAGGTTCTTTCAGCGATTATTTGTATTTGTAGTATGTGGGTGAAGCATTTACAGCGTTGTGGTTCGGAAAGTCTTCAGCGAAGCCATTGTTTGAGATGTGTTCGAACGTCATAAGTTGCGAGTCGTGTGTAGAACCGTTTTTCATTCATAAACGGGGGGGTTTGGCGGGTGGATGGAATGGATTTTGGGCCTTTGTTTAGAGGACGGGATGCACAGGCAACAGCACTAACAGCCTCGTCAGAGACTCACGGCTGACGTGGTAACCAAGTAACCCCAAACCCCGACTCTCACAGCTGTTCCATCACAACAAATCCATGTTGGACACGCCAATAAACTTTATCATCCCTCTCAGTCTCCAACCTCATCCTTCATTTCCTGTATGTCCACCTCCCATTACTCTCCTATCCTCTTCCCCTTCCATACAAAATCCTTTGGTCACAAATTCAAATTCAGTGGGACCGAACTCACTAACTCCAGAGTTTGAGCCTACCGTATTGCTAAAAAATTTTGCATTTCTCTCATAAAAGTATTTCATTGCTATCCCCTGGTTCGTGATATTTTTATTTGTAGTTATTTATTGTGAATGAACATGTAGTGTGTCGCAGACCTGTGTTGAGGTGGATCAGAGATGCCTGTTCTGTAATGTACATGTAAACGTTACCTTGTTCTGATAAGATGAGAATACATAAAATTCAGTTCTAGAGTAACATTTGTAACCATGATAAAAATCTACTCGTTCAAATGAGTACCAGTCAATCTTACAGGAAGCTGTCCAGCGCTATATAAACTCAGGCGTCAGATACATTCTAGTGAACATAATATATTCAGGAACAACAAGGTAGGTCAGGCTGAAGCTCACTTACCGGTACAGGAATAAGAACAGCTGCGTTTGAAGTTACAGAGCAATACAGGTACGGGTATAGTGAGACGCTCAATAAGTTGCCTCCACTTCCTCGTTACAGTACTCCATCCTCAACTTCATCCCCAAGAACCTCTTTGAGCAGTTCCGACGGATTGCCAACTTCTACTTCCTGTGTGTGGCCATAATACAGGTGAGGTGCGGTGCTCCGGATGGCTGTAGCTGCAGTGTAATACAAAATAAACAATAAAGGATTAACAAGAATTATACTTAATTAGAGTATCATTTTTTCAGGAATAGTAACAATTCCTGGCCCTTGACTTAGAATTATTAATCTATATATAAACCATACTTTTGTAGTAAATGATTAGCACACTTAATTATATTTTTGTTTATCAAAAGTAAAGTGTTCGACATTACTGCATCTTGATTAGTTAAGATAACTGTTGGTCTAGTTTCTGAACCCATTAAGTAACTCTGTAGCCCGTCCACCATATCCCAACGGGTGGATATATGAAATACACAATTGTATGCATAAACTAAGCACCTTGACAATTTCCGGAGGGAACATTTCATGCCGCGCATACTGATGTTCTTGGCTTGTCTGGGCTGTCTGTGGTGCAGTTGTTCATCGACAGTCCGGTGTCACCGATGACGAGCATCCTGCCGCTGGTGTTCGTGGTGGCGGTGACGGCGGTGAAGCAGGGCTACGAGGACTGGCTCCGTCACCGAGAGGACAACAAGGTCAACAACGCCGCCTCCAGAGTCCTGCGGGACGGTGTCGTTACGGTGAGTACTGTGAATAGAAGCTAAGCGTTGACGTACGAGTTAGAAATATTAACATAGCAAGGTGACATGGTTCTGGCGGCTTATCTGCTAGGAACTGTGCTAAAATAAAAATTAGGTCAGCTGAAAGAAGCGAAAAATGGGATTTAATTTTGCAGCAGGGAAGCAACACAGAGTGGAAGGACTTGATAACAATGATTCTCTACTAGCTCACTTGGGAACTATGATGTGTAATTGCTCCATGTAATGTGACCAGGACCTGCGCACGAAGGACATCGAGGTCGGGGACATCGTAGAGATAGCGTCAGACGAGCAGTTCCCCTGCGACTTGCTACTCCTCATGTCCACTGACTCTGAGGGCAAGTGTAGTGTCACGACCGCCAACCTTGACGGAGAAACCAACCTTAAGGTAGATTAGCAGATGAGGAGTCACAATAACGTGGCAGAAATATGTTGACCAAAACACACTAGAAAGTGAAGGGACGACGACGTTTCGGTCCGTCCTGGACCATTTTCAAGTCGATTGTGAATGATTAAAACGTCGTCGTCCCTTCACTTTCTAGTGTGTTTTGGTCAACTTAAGGTAGGTAAGCTGGGCGTCAGTAAGTGTCAATGTGGCACCATGACGTCTTGGTGTATCTCAACACGCACTCATCAACTCTATATATAATTGTAAGAGAATATACCAGTTGTCCTCTGGTGTGACTAGCATAGAGTATCTGTGTAAGCTGTTTGTACCTCATGTCATTTCGTGAAAAGTATTTTGCTGTCAACGTGTTCTAATATGATGAAGTTGATGATATGACGATCTTTTTTCCTGAAACATTCTTCCTCTCGTTCACCCCCCTCCCTCCTCTTAACCCCTGCGCTCTCTCCCCTTCACCCTTCTTACTCCTCAGACCTTCCTGTGCCCCGAGAAGACCAGTTACCTGACCGACGTGGACGACCTGTGGAGACTGAGGGCCATCATAGAGTGCCAGGTCAGTTCTAGACGCCACGAGGTAAGTGCGAGGTCACTCAGTGTCAGTGCCAGGTCATGCAAGTTATTACCAGACTTTGCAAAGTCAGTGTCAGGTCACCAAAGATGTCCGTATACCATTTAACAGTAAATATGAGATCATTTCAGCTTAGAGAAGTACAGAGTAGTCACATATACCCATCGTCAGTCAAGAAGAAATGTCTAATAGGACATTTATGAGTGTTTTGCATAGATTACAACGCTCTGTCCACGTACATACTTGTTTACATATAAGAAACGCAACATAATATTTACAGTAAGCAAAATGTATAATATCATTTGGACGAGAAATATAAGTAAAATATCTAATCTTGCTTAAATTTCCATATAAAATATGCCATATATGTTACTTATGAACTGGATTACAGCATAAGTCTTAATAAAATAACATTTCGCTTCAGCTGCCGCACCCGAACCTGTACGACTTCAAGGGTCGGCTGGAGGTATACCGGGGGGCCGGAGTGCCCGACACGGCCTCCCTGGCCACGGAGAACCTCCTCCCCAGGGGCGCCAGACTCAAGAACACCTCCACCGTCTATGGTCAGTTGGGCTCTATCTCTGTTTGTCTCTGTCTATGTCTGTCTGTCAGTTGAGCACCATGTTTTGCCTCCACTCCTGCACTACCACTGAGCTTGCCTCCACTTACAGGGGTCGCAGTATACACAGGAGAAGAGACCAAGATGGCTCTCAACTCCAAGATGACTGGGAACAAGTTCTCCACAGTGGAGAAGTGAGTATCCTCTTTGGCCCTGAGTTCCCTTCAGCACTCTGTGTTCAAAGTGGACAGCAATGAACACGAAAGTTACGTAGTTGTCATGATCCGGTCCAGTGTGAACAGTTTATATATGTGTATAATGTCTTTCTTTAAATGTTGACAGTGAGTGGTTGAAGAAAGAGAATGAAAGAGTTATCATTTTACAAGGATGGCAATTAGAGCCGCCAATAACAGTAATAACCGCTAGAAATAACAAGAGGCAATAGTTATAATGTCAGTCAATATCATTTGTAACAGTCACTGATATAACCACAACCAATTGCAATAAAAACTACCGCAATCAATAACAACCATTAGAAATAACAGCTACTACTAGCAATAACAGCAACAAGAAATAACCCACAAGCAAAACAGCAATAAAATAAATCAAAATAACAACCACAATTATCAGCAAAAATAATTACCAACATTCCAGACCTCCAAAACTGGAAATAACACAATCAGTAACAACCTCCAGAAACAGTAACATTCACTAGCAATTACAATCCCCAACAATCAGTAACAATCTCTATAAACAGCAACAACACTTGCAAAAACAACAATCGCCAGCAATAGCTACAACTACCTCCCACAAGAAGTAATAACACAATCACAACTAGGAGAAGCTATCACAACTGCCCACAATAACTAATAAATCAACCAACTCCAGATATCATTAACTATAGCAGCAACCATTGGGCTTTATCGTATCTACCAACAATAATCTCCAAGTGTACAAATAATAATGTGTTTTGCAGGTCCATGAACAACTTCCTGGTGTTCTTCCTGGTGATGCTGGTGCTGGAGATCATCATCTGCACCGTCCTCAAGTATCAGCTGTACGACCTCGCTGTCATGAGTAAGTTCCAGACCAGGGAGACTACAGGATGCTACTCACACACTCACACGAAGACACACATGAAGATACTCTCACACACACACACACACACACACACACACACACAAGCAAGAGAACTGAGCCTACCACTCTCCATAGTGTATAACAAATCACTGGCAACAGGGGAACTGCCAGATACTTGGAAAGCAGCTAACGTAGTCCCGATATACAAGAAAGGGGATAGACAGGAGGCACTGAACTACAGGCCAGTGTCCCTAACCTGCATACCATGCAAGCTGATGGAGAAGATTGTGCGAAAAAAACTAGTGGAGCATCTGGAGCGAAGGAACTTTGTAACACAGCATCAACATGGGTTCAGGGATGGCAGGTCCTGCCTCACAGGGTTACTTGAATTCTACGACCAGGCAACAAAAATAAGGCAAGAAAGAGAAGGGTGGGCAGACTGCATATTTTTGGATTGTCAGAAAGCCTTTGATACAGTGCCACACAAGAGGCTAGTGCGAAAGTTGGAGATGCAGGCTGGAGTGAGAGGGAAGGTACTCCGGTGGATAGAGGAATACCTAAGCAACAGGAGACAACGAGTCTGTGTGAGGGGTGAGGTCTCAGAGTGGCGAAACGTCACAAGTGGAGTCCCGCAGGGGTCAGTCCTTGGACCTATACTGTTTCTGGTATATGTAAATGATCTCCCAGAGGGTATAGATTCGTTCCTCTCAATGTTTGCCGACGATGCAAAAATTATGAGGAGGATTGAAACAGAGGATGATAGTAGGAGGCTACAAGATGACCTGGATAGACTGAGTGAATGGTCCAACAAATGGCTGTTGAAGTTCAACCCGAGTAAATGCAAAGTAATGAAACTAGGCAGTGGAAACAGGAGGCCAGGCACAGGATACAGAATAGGAGATGAAGTACTTAATGAAACAGACAGAGAGAAAGATCTAGGAGTTGATATCACACCAAACCTGTCTCCTGAAGCCCACATAAAGAGAATAACGTCTGCGGCATATGCGAGGCTGGCTAACATCAGAACGGCGTTCAGGAACCTGTGTAAGGAATCATTCAGAATCTTGTACACCACATATGTAAGACCAATCCTGGAGTATGCGGCCCCAGCATGGAGCCCGTACCTTGTCAAGCACAAGACGAAGCTGGAAAAAGTCCAAAGGTATGCTACTAGACTAGTCCCAGAACTAAGAGGCATGAGTTATGAGGAAAGGCTGCGGGAAATGCACCTCACGACACTGGAAGACAGAAGAGTAAGGGGGGACATGATCACAACCTACAAAATCCTCAGGGGAATCGACCGGGTAAACAAGGACGAACTTTTCAACACTGGTGGGACGCGAACAAGGGGACACAGGTGGAAGCTGAGTACCCAAATGAGCCACAGAGACGTTAGAAAGAACTTTTTCAGTGTCAGAGTAGTTAGCAAATGGAATGCATTAGGAAGTGATGTGGTGGAGGCTGACTCCATTCACAGTTTCAAATGTAGATATGATAGAGCCCAATAGGCTCAGGAATCTGTACACCAGTTGATTGACGGTTGAGAGGCGGGACCAAAGAGCCAGAGCTCAACCCCCGCAAGCACAATTAGGTGAGTACAATTAGGTGAGTACACACACACACACACACACACACACACACACACACACACACACACACACACACACACACACAATAGACTCAGGAACCTGTACAGCAGTTGATTGATAGTTGAGAGGTAGGATCAAAGAGCCGAAGTTCAACCCTTGCAAGCACAACTAGGTAAACCACACACACACATGAAAATATTCATACAAAAATATGTTTCCATGTGTCCTTATCGGACTCTGTGATTAAGCCCCATTAATGCTTTTTATCCAAGTACTTCTCGCATGATTCTAGAACCCAATGACTCTTGAAGTGTTAAATACTAGATCTTCCCATAACCAAAACATTGTATTGGACTAGGTATTGGGTAACAAAAGCATTTCATTAATTGCAGATTAGTGTTTTCCAAAAAATATAATATCAGGATCCTTAAATTGTTTAATACTTCGTACCATTTAATAATCGAAGCATTAAATGTTATACTAAATATGAGTTCTTATGTGCAGGCGACGTTTCGGTCCGTCCTGGACCATTATAAAGTCGTCAGTTCTTGTGTATTTATATGTAAGGAGTGTAGAGAGGTGGTGGTGGTGAGGGTGTTGATGAGGAGTATTGTTGCTTGTATGGACAGGTAAGATGTGGTACCTGGGCTTGCCGGCAAACTACACCCTCACCTCAAGAGACGTCATTCAGGACAGCTTCTCCTTCCTCGTCATTTTCAATTACATCATTCCAATCTCCCTCTATGTGACCCTAGGTAAGTGTCGGCTCCACTGCCCATCTAAGGTAAATACCAGCATTAAGTCACTCATTTGTCCTCTATAGCTACTGAAGTGACAGCATAGATATTACACACAGAAATCACAATTGCGTGATGCATCAAATGAACAAATCCACAAGGGCCGTGACGAGGATTCGAACCTGCGTCCGAGAGCATCCCAGACGCTGCCTAAATCGACTGAGCTACGACATGGTCGTACATGGTCGTAGCTCAGTCGATTTAGGCAGAGTCTGGGATGCTCTCGGATGCAGGTTGGAATGCTCGTCACGGCCCTTGTGGATTTGTTCATAGAGATTCCATCCTGTGTAGAACACGAATTAATTCAATATACACGACTTCCACAGAGACTGACTCTCATCTTATGACTGCAGCAATAAGAAGAGAACAATCTTTATATATTTTTGTTAAACATTTAAAGCATCTTGGACTTTTCCAAATTAGACGCGGCAGGTTATGAACGTTATATGAATGACGTTGGCTGTATAAAATAGACATCCTTGCCAAACATCTTTATGCGGTAATATTCAACCGTTGGAGGACCTCTCCAGAGATGCAGAAGTTCCTGGGCGCCATGTTCATCGGTTGGGACGACGAGCTGAGGTGTAACAAGACAGGGGAGCGATGCAAGTGCAACACTTCAGACTTGAATGAGGAGCTGGGACAGGTGAGACAACAACTGCCTCTCACTCCCGTCTACGGGCTCACCATAGCCCGTGTTACTTGGAACTTTTTGTTCCAGGTAGCGAATCTTTAACAACAACATCTCACTCCCTCATCTTGCTTACCTCACTTCATCTCGATAAGCTTTGATAAACAATGTTCCATCAGCAGATCGTTTCCGTGAATTAGTCAATTTAAGTAGTGAAACCTTAATCAAATGCCTGCACTTTCTTTTTGATTATATAATTTAAGAATAGAAATAAATATTACGTTACTCCTTTCTGAATATTCTCCACTTATCGAACTGTGTCTGTGACGTATATGTTGCAGGTACAGTACCTGTTTACGGACAAGACCGGCACGCTCACCGAGAACTGCATGAACTTTCGTCAGTGTTCTGTCTTGGGGGTGAAGTTCGTGGACGTAGACGGGGTGATGCACTCGTTCGAGGATGAGGACAACAGCAGGACCGTCCCTCTGAGCACTTTTCCTGTACGTTGAACGCGGTTACTTACCAACGTTACTCTTTCTTATTGTCTCACTGTGTATGGCACATATTAGTGCAAAGATCAGGTCATTGAAGAATGCATTAGGTCAGGTAAGAGGCAGTGATAAAGAAATAGGAGGTATTCTAATTAAGTTCTTTGGATCTGCATTTACTAGAAGAGAATTATATATTTTACCTGTAACTTAACAAGTTTGAGTAGGTGAATGGGACAAGTTGACTAGTTTAGCGGTTACTAAGGAAGATGATATTAAACAATAAACAAATTAATTCCCAACAAGCCCCCCCCCCCCCCCCCCGAGACCAGACACAGTATTTGCCAGGGTTTTTTTAGATTATGAAGACGAGCTTAGGGATATGTGTCCTTGTTTAATGGCATTCCCTAGAAGAAGACAATCGACTTGAGAATGGTCCAGGACGGACCGAAACGTCGTTGTCCCTTCACTTTCTAGTGTGTGGTTTGGTCAACATTCCTTAGAAGTTTAGAGGGCATCCCCAGAACTACTGCTCTCCTGGAGTTTTGAGGACAACCCCCCAGAAATAATGCCCTCCTAGAATTTGCAGGACATTCCCAGATGTTCTGCCCTCCTGAAGTTTAGAGGGGGGAGTACTTCTGGTTAAGGTAATATAATTAATTTTGTCAGGGGACAGGCAGCCTGTGTATGAATATACGTTTCGCTTATATCAAGTTCTTACCAAAGTCTAACTACTGACCGTCCTCAGGATGCAACCCCCAGCGGTTAACTAACTCCCGGGTTCATATTTGTTACTAGGTGAACAGATGCATTAGGTAAAAGAATCCGTACCCAACTATTTCTGTTCCGCCCGAGATTCGAAGAGCCTAATCTACCTTATTATTATTATTATTATTATTATTATTATTATTATTATTATTATTATTATTATTATTATTATTATTATTATTATTATTATTATTATTTTTATTCCGATTGTAGGCGTCCCTGGATACCTTCCTGCAGACGCTGGCTCTGTGCCACACTGTAGAGGCGAGCCCTAAGATTAGAGCAACGACGGAGGCACAGACGACGGAGAACGGTACAGAGCTCTCCAACCTCTCGCTGGAGTACCAGGCCTCGAGCCCGGACGAGAAGGCCCTTGTGGAGGCCTGTGCAAGGTAGTGGGTGTACACTTGGGTCATACGGTGATATCAGCGCCATATTGGCACGGCTGGAGTCTAAAATTTACACTGGTGATCTGATTCAATTCTTGAGGCCGCCTAGCGTGACTCCATTCTTGAGGCCTCAAACATGGCGTCAAAGCTTATCACTATCTAAAACAAGGCTTTGGATAGTGATTGGAGCTTGGATACAGAGATTCTGTATTTCGTCTCTGTTTTCATTTTCACCTTCTGACTGAACTTGACTAGCTGAGGGCTGTGTTCTCGAGGCCTGTGAGTAAGCACCAGTGTGTGTAAGTAACGTTGAATGTTTAGTGGTGTGTGTGTGGTTCAGGTGCGTGTGTGGTTCAGGTGTGTGTGTGGTTCAGGTGTGTGTGTGGTGGTGTGTACTCACCTAGTTGTACTCACCTAGTTGTGCTTGCGGCGGCTGAGCTCTGGCTCTTTGGTCCCGCCTTTCAACTGTCAATCAACTGGTGTACAGATTCCTGAGCCTACTGGGCTCTATTATATCTGCATTTGAAACTGTGTATGAAGTCTGCTTCCACCACATCACTGCCTAATGCATTCCATTTGTTAACTACTCTGACACTGAAAAATCTTTCTAATGTCTCTGTGGCTCATTTGGGTAGCGTCCTGTATCCCATTGTGCGTGTTCCACCCGTGCTAAAGAGTTTGTCTTTGTCCACCCTGCCAATGTGTTTGTAGTGGTGTGTATGTGTTTCAGGTGTGTATGTGGTGGTGTGTGTGAGAGAGCGTCCCTGGTGGAGTCGAGTGTGTGAAGTATCACAGGGTTTGGTCGACAGGTTCGGGGTGGTGTTCGAGGGCCAGGTCAAGGGCAAGCTGCTCCTCAACGTGCGTGGTGAAACCTGCATCTTCACACGTCTTCAGGTCCTCGAGTTCGACTCAGGTCAGTAAAATATGTTGTCTGTATTAAAAGTTGTATTAATGTTGCCTGCTTCTCCCTCGCTGCCACACATTAAACTGTTCCAAACACGAGATTATCTATATACATTTCATGCAATTGTATTTCCACATTTCCTGGGTTATGTTTAAAATTAGATATTGACCCAACACGGGAAAGTGTTGAGTTAGAGTGTGGTGAAACAGAGAGTGCAAGCTTAAGATAGCAACAGCTATACACTCACTATGTTGAAGAAATATCACAGCCACCTTGAGCCCACATACAGACAGTGACCCAACTGCTTATGCACGACCAACCGGAAGTATCTAGGTTTGACACACTTTCTTCTGCCCCACCGACCTGAAGTTCCCCAGTCTGAGAAGAATGTGTGTGTCCTCAGACCGGAAGTGCATGTCGGTGGTGGTGCGAGAGGAGGCGTCGGGCAAGATCTGGCTGCTGACGAAGGGAGCCGAGAGCAGCGTATTGAAGCGATGTTGCATCAACACTCCGGAACTGGAGCGCCTCCACTACACCACCCTCTCCCACATCAACGACTACGCCATGGTGAGCAGTGATGTAGGGAGGGAGCAGGAGGGTGAGGGTGAAAAAGAGTGAGAAAGAGGACAGGTAGGTCGATAAAATGAGAGAGAGAGAGAGAGAGAGAGAGAGAGAGAGAGAGAGAGAGAGAGAGAGAGAGAGAGAGAGAGAGAGAGAGAGAGAGAGAGAGAGAGAGAGAGAGAGAGAGAGAGAGTATGTAATTCGTACATATTCGGAATTACATAATTCCATATATGTAATTCGTTTCGTTTCCAAATCAGAATTCACCCAAGTTATCTCGTTCAACTTCCAAGTATCTATTTAATTGTTACTTCCCTGACTCCCTTCAGCTGGGTCTGCGGACGCTGGCGGTGGCCAGGAGAGCGCTGACGAAGGACCAGTACCAAGACTTCGCCCAACATCTCTCTCAAGCAAAGCAGGTCTGTCTTTTCCTCCAAACCTTCCAAGGATTTTAGTGCGAACATAAATGTCTTCATACCTCATATACGTCTGTAATAATATGTATTTGTAATGTATATAAATAAATATATTTTGTATGACTTCTGTACCATGGTGGTATCGTAGGAAATATGAGAGGTGGTGACCTCTCATATAGTGAACAAGAATTACTGCTGTTTTTTTTATAATTTTGCTGACTTTGGTTCCTTTTTGTGACCTCGTCGATGGCCTTGGTGACCATAAGTTATCTGGACTTCTTTTTGACCTAAGCAATGTGATGTTGGTGACATTACAGATGGCCTTCACAATCATTGGTGACTCCAGGTGACTGATAACTACAGGTGTCCTTCATGACTTTAAGTGCCTTTGATGATGTGTGATGACCTTGGTGACCTTGTTGATCCCTGGTGAATCTTGGCGACCTTGATGACTCCTGGTGACCTTGATCACCCCTGTATGGTGACCTTGTAGCACCAACCCAGGTTCAACATTTTCCTAGAATAATAAATAGATGTATGAATGATATACTTATTGAGGACAAAGTTAAGTACTGACTCTAAAGCTAACCATAAAATACTGAATGACAACGATATTTCTGAGCTGTGCAGAATACGATTGGAATTCGTGCACTTTGTGGCCCCATCCAAATATTCCCTCGATGAATATACACAAAGAAAGATTGGAATAGTATAATTTAGATCAGAGGCAAAGTGATATAATGAGTTAGCCATTCAGACTAACAAGGGAACAGACCTCTGACTATCGCTCCAGTCATTATGCCATCAACTCGCATACTCACCTTCTCACCTTATCATATATATATTGAGTGGTTGACAAATGAAATGCATTAGGAAGTAATGTGGTGGAGGCTGACTCCATACACAGTTTCAAGTGTAGATATGATAGAGCCCAATAGGCTCAGGAACCTGTTGATTGACGGTTGAGAGGAGGGACCAAAGAGCCAGAGCTCAACCCCCGCAAGCACAACTAGGTGAGTACCGCATGGTCATACATGTGCCATTAACATCAAATTTTAAGTCATCTCTGTTGTTTTTTTATTTAAAATAATATTTTCCGTATAACAGATCATGCCCAACTGTTATGAGCTATTTTATTTTAACTTGGAGATAAATACTCCATATTTATAATCTGAATTCCCATCCCGCTCTGATTACCAATTGGGGCTCAGGGAAACACCCTTCTCTCTTGTCTATTTCTCCTGTGGTGGTCGATCGAAACTCCCAACGAGGAGATTTGATTAATTGATGACGATTAAGCCACCCAAGAGGTGGCACGGACATGAATAGCCCGTAAGAACGAGGAGATTGTTGTAGTTTTAGATTCAGCTACTCGGAAAAAAAAATCCAAGCAGCACGGGATATGGTGAGCCCATCGTACTTACTTGGCACAGGAGATGTACGTGTGTGTGTGAACCAGGGGAATGTTGTTGTTTAGATTCAACTACTCAGAACAAAATTTCCATATAGCTCTTGGTCCCTGGTGCTCTTGACCCTGGTGACTTCATTTTAATAATTATTGATGATCCTGGAAGCTTAATTTAAGATGTTTATGGTCCTGTTGATGCTGTTGACCCTGATGGCTCTGTCTGTGAACTTGACGGTCCAGGAAGGCTCGGTGACGCTATTGTTGAACTTTGTGCAGGTGTTGACCAGACCACACACTAGAAGGTGAAGGGCCGACGACATTTCGGTCCGTCCTGGACCATTCTCAAGACAATCGACTTGAGAATGGTCCTTGACGGACCAAAACGTCGTCGTCCCTTCACCTTCTAGTGTGTGGTCTGGTCAACTTACTTTAGGCACGTTATTGTGACTCATCGCCTGTTTGTGCAGGTGGTGGAGGACCGGGAGGCCGCGGTGAAGAAGGTGACAGACAAGATGGAGACTGAGCTAAGCCTGCTGGGAGCCACCGGGGTGGAGGACCTTCTGCAGGAGGGAGTTCAGGAGACTCTAGAGTCTCTCCGGGCGGCGGGCATCAAGGTGAGTCTCTCCGAGCGGTGCTCATTAATGTGAGTCTCTCCTGGTGTTGGGCATCTAGATGAGTCCCCGGGAAGCGGGCATCACCAGCTATGAAACCAATCATCCCCCACCGATGACATCACCCATGTGAAGTCCTCATATCTCTCACCATAATATTATTATTTTAATGGAAACTCTAAACTGAGAGTAAGGAATCTGTGGTATTGGCCTGTTGCTTCAGGAACACTTATGTTGAGAACAACTTGCTGTTGAAGTGACTGTTGACCCTCAGTGACTGTCTGCAGGCGAGAAAGTCTGCAGTCAGGCTCCCTAATGTGGCAGTCAGCTTACTGATTTCATTCCCTCCTCCTTCCGTAGGCTGATGATCCGAAGCCTCCGCCCTTATAGGGGATAGTATGCTCAACTCTTAAGTGTTGCACAGCCCCTCTCCTTCCTTGTCCCATAAGTCCCATTGTTCAGGTCTTGTATAGCATCCTCTACTCCCAGGTGTGGGTGTTGACGGGGGACAAGGTGGAGACGGCTGTCAACATCGCCTACTCCTGCGGTCACTTCAAGCGGTTCATGACTGTCCTCTCCTTGACCGGCCTCCGGGATCTTGACCACGCCGTCGCCTCCCTGCGACAGTGCCAGTATGTTCTTTGTAGTGTGATGGTCCCCTGGTGCATGGTTTGTACCGTGAGGCGCTTCATGGTGCATTGTTTGTGACGTGGGTGCTTCATGGTGCATTGTTTGTGCCGTGAGGCGCTTCATGGTGCATTGTTTGTGACGTGAGGCGCTTCATGGTGCATTGTTTGTGACGTGGGAGCTTCATGGTGCATTGTTTGTACCGTGAGGCGCTTCATGGTGCATTGTTTGTGCCGTGAGGCGCTTCATGGTGCATTGTTTGTGCCGTGAGGCGCTTCATGGTGTATTGTTTGTGACGTGGACGCTCCATGCTGCATTGTTTGTGACGTGGGTGCTTCATGGTGCATTGTTTGTGCCGTGAGGCGCTTCATGGTGCATGGTTTGTGACGTGAGGCGCTTCATGGTGCATTGTTTGTGACGTGAGGCGCGTCGTGGTGCATTGTTTGTGCCGTGAGGCGCTTCATGGTGCATTGTTTGTGCCGTGAGGCGCTTCATGGTGCATTGTTTGTGCCGTGAGGCGCTTCATGGTGCATTGTTTGTGACGTGGGTGCTTCATGGTGCATTGTTTGTGACGTGGGAGCTTCATGGTGCATTGTTTGTACCGTGGGTGCTTCGTGGTGCATTGTTTGTGATGTGGGTGCTTCATGGTGCATTGTTTGTGCCGTGAGGCGCTTCATGGTGCATTGTTTGTGACGTGGGAGCTTCATGGTGCATTGTTTGTGCCGTGAGGCGCTTCATGGTGCATTGTTTGTGACGTGGACGCTTCATGGTGCATTGTTTGTGACGTGGACGCTTCATGGTGTATTGTTTGTGACGTGGACGCTCCATGCTGCATTGTTTGTGACGTGGGTGCTTCAAGGTGCATTGTTTGTGACGTGGACGCTTCAAGGTGCATTGTTTGTGACGTGGACGCTTCAATGTGCATTGTTTGTGACGTGGACGCTTCAAGATGCATTGTTTGTGACGTGGACGCTTCAAGGTGCATTGTTTGTACCGTGAGGCGCTTCATGGTGCATTGTTTGTGACGTGGACGCTTCAAGGTGCATTGTTTGTGACGTGGACGCTTCAAGGTGCATTGTTTGTGACGTGGACGCTTCAAGGTGCATTGTTTGTACCGTGAGGCGCTTCATGGTGCATTGTTTGTGACGTGGGCGCTTCATGGTGCATTGTTTGTGACGTGGGCGCTTCATGGTGCATTGTTTGTGACGTGGGCGCTTCATGGTGCATTGTTTGTGACGTGGGTGCTTCATGGTGCATTGTTTGTGACGTGGGCGCTTCATGGTGCATTGTTTGTGACGTGGGCGCTTCATGGTGCATTGTTTGTGACGTGGGCGCTTCATGGTGCATTGTTTGTGACGTGGGCGCTTCATGGTGCATTGTTTGTGACGTGGGCGCTTCGTTATTGTTAATGACGTTCGATTTAATAAAACATTGTTTTTGACGTGGGTCATGAAACGCTGTTCGTGACGGCGCGGTGCATTATGTGTAATAAGTGGGGCTTTGTGACGTATGTTGAAGAAGCATTATTCGTTTTTTCTAATTATTATTTTAATAAAATAGGTGTCATTTTAAATCTTATTTGAGGTACTGAAATTTCTAGTGATTGAAATTGAAATTGAAATAAGTTTATTGAGGTAAAATACACACAAAGGGATGAGGTAGCTCAAGCTATTCTCACCCCGTTCAGTACAACGTGTTAGTACATACATAGACACACATCACAAACAATAAACCTGTTACCAAACATTCTGAGAGATAAACATGTACATTTCCTCCTTCACAAGTAGTATGGTATCAGAAGTACACAAATACTTTTATTGATTGATAAAGATTAAGCCACTCAAAAGATGGCACGGGCATGAATAGTCCGTAAAAAAATTCGTCAGTGATCGATAGTGAAGCCTCTTTCAAGTCTGCTGAGATACTGACGTGAAAACTGCAGACTTGCATATCAATAATCCCTATTTATCCTCCTAATTCCTAGGAGGAATTACTAGGATAAATTACTCTCGCTATTAATCCTCACTCTTACCTCACAATCACCGCGACTTTCCCCTTCTGTCGCAACTTACATCCACTAGGAAGGATTCAGAGGGCGACTCCTACTACGGGCTGGTGGTGGACGGCGCCTCACTGCAGCTGCTGTTTGATAATCTGAAGGAGGAGTTTTACAGCATTTGTCGGCGGTGCACCGCTGTCGTCTGCTGCAGGATGTCGCCCAGACAAAAAGCCGAGGTAACAATTGGAATGCTTGTCTTGTGACTATAAAGCAGATATTGTAACTGTAACAAATCGAATTGTAATGGGAGAGTAACCTTGAACGTGACCTCTTGGCGGAGGTGCTTCCTCATGCCCACTAGGTGTGACAGGAAATGAAATATTCTCTCACTAAAACATCATGACTCTATATATTAATTTACAAATAAAAGACATTTATGGCGTTACACAACGATGAGTTCAGTTATGTGAAATATATTCTTTAGACTTTTGTACTCTTGATCAGTGCATTATTGTTCTTAGATGATTATTTCTGATTTAATGTGAGTGAATGTTGTGTGCGTGCAGACGGTGCGGCTGGTGAAGACCTCGAGCGAGAGACCCGTCTGCGCTGCCATCGGGGACGGCGCCAACGACGTCTCCATGATCCAGGAAGCCCACGTTGGTCTAGGTCAGTACTTCTTCTTTTGTTTGTATTTCGTTTGAGATTTATGTCTTTTTATTGATCTTACATTTCAACCCTCTTATGTCCCTCCGTTTCTCCTCCAGTTTTAACTGTCGTCATTCGTGTCCTAACGCGTCTATCCATAACTGAAACAATTTCACTCGAGTGATTCAGAAGCCAAGAGAAGTTCGATATCCGCAAGCCTAGCGACGCCGCGGTTCGTAATGACTGATTTTTACTCAACTATAAACTATGCAAATACACAAACATTTACTTTATGTTCAACAGGTGTGATGGGTAAGGAAGGTCGGCAGGCGGTGAGGTGTTCCGACTTCGCCTTCGCCAGGTTCCGTTTCCTGAAGAGGGTGCTGCTGGTGCACGGCCACTGGTACTACGTCAGGGTCTCCACTCTCGTCCAGTACTCCTTCTACAAGAACGTCGCCTTCGTCACCCCGCAGGTTTTCTTCGCTATCTGGAGCGCCTTCTCCACTCAGGTAGGAGACCATGACAGAGGAGAGGTAGAGAGAAAAAGAGAGAAAGAGAGAGAAAGAGAGAGAGAGAGAGAGAGAGAGAGAGAGAGAGAGAGAGAGAGAGAGAGAGAGAGAGAGAGAGAGAGAGAGAGAGAGAGAGAGAGAGAGAGAGAGAGAAGGGGTGAGAAAAACGAGGAGTTTTTTTTTATTATAATTAGTATTTTGATATCCTTCATCAGAGCGTGTATGAGAGCCTGGTCCTGACCATGTTCAACATCACCTTCACATCCCTCCCCGTCATCATCTACGGCCTCTTCGACCAGAACCTCCCGCCCCAGCTGCTGCTGGACCGCCCACATCTGTATGAGAATAACGCTCTCAACTCCGCCATGTCTGGGCTCAACTTCTTCAAATGGATTTGCTTAGGTGAGGTGAAGGGGTTTCGAACTCTTTACTGTTAGTTCAACGCTGAAGATTTGAAAGCAATGTGTGGAGGTATGGGAAGGGTGTTGAGGTTTGGGAGCGAATGTGTGTGTGCTTAAACTTCCTCATTTCCCTCTGACCTCCGCCCGGCCTCCACGCCCGTAGCACTGTGGCACGCCTGCACCATGTACTTCGGGCTGATGCTGCTGTGCGCTGACGACACCTGCGGCCTGCCCGACGGCCAGACCTCAGATCTCTCACTTTTCGGCACCACCCTCGTGTCCATCTGCGTCTTCGTCGTCAACCTCAAGGTGGGCACTGTGACCAAAGCAGGGAGATGTGTCTTTTTTCAAAATGTGTAATATATGCTAATGAAAAATAGTAATTAAAAGAATAAAAATGGGAATATGATAATGATAATAATAATAATAATAATAATAATAATAATAATAATAATAATAATAATGATAATAATAATAATAGTGATAATAATAAACAAAGCCAGTGTTTAACATCATATATACTGACTTGCCCCCATCTGCCATGGTGAGATCAGCTGGTGCTGGAGGTGCAATATTTCACTCAGTTCTTCTTCTGGTCGATGGTTCTCACCCTTGTGGCCTACGCTGGACTCATCCTCTTCTATCAGGGTCTCATTATGTAAGTCCCCAATCTCTGATGTTCTCCCCATCCCTAGTGTCTGGTGTTGAAGTGTTCCCTCTTCTCGCGTCTTTCAAGTTCATAGTTTTATTTCCCTTATAAGTGCTCAAGTGCTAGCAAATTTCACAATTAAGGTGCCTGAAGGACGTGAAACATCTCAAATATAGGAGTCAGCATGCTGGTGGTCCTCGTATCCGTAGGTATGTCAAAATCACCGGCGACTCTCTAACTCCGAGCACAAGCTTTTGACGCGTGTAATTAGCTATTCACCATTTACAGGTGCGGAGGTTGTTTTCCAGATTTTATCATGGGTGTTAACTATACGACGCGTATTGTTGCGCATGACAGTATTGTCATGCTAATATGCCAATATTAGCATAATCTCTTCAAATCTTTTTTCTATTCATGTAAAGAATTTCCAGAGTTACCCGTGCATGTCACAAGCTCTGGTGCTTGTGAAGCTCATAATTTGTGTTTATCCGTAAATCGTATGTTCATGAATTGGTCAAGTCCAAATATCAGGCGATTTTCATTTTAACTTCATTCAACCTCTTGAATGTCTCTCATACATTCAACATAAAATAGGTCCTCACATCCGTATCTCTGTCGACCTTGCACAGAGACTTCTTCAGCAACTACGCGGTCTACTGGACGTACTATCGAATGTTCCAAAGCTCTTCTCTTATGCTGGGGTCCGTGTTGCTGGGGGTGTTGTGTCTCTTGCCTGATGTCCTCGAGAAGGTCTGCCTCTCCTTCAGCGACGTCAGAGTGCAGGATGAGCGCAGGAAGAAGGCTGCAGAGAGAAAGGTAAGGATAGACAGGGAAGGATAGACGGGGTCACTAACTCAAGGTCCCGTGTTCAAATTAGCTGCTGATTAGTGAACTCTGTTAGGCGCTATTTACTAGTGTTGGATAATGCAGGAGTCACACTCAGGTTCCTAGTAAAGCATGGCGTTACAAAGACTCAAAGTGTTATAAAATTAGTTAATGTTAGGCAACTTACTGGTCTAATATAAATGATAACTGTTCAGAAGTAATAAAGACAATACTAAAGCAAATAACCATTTTTTTAAATCTGAATTACTAATATTATAACACTATGATTCTTGGTAACTTCATGTTTTATTAGTAACTGGAGTGTGACTCCTTTATTATCCAACACTAGTAACTAGTGCCTATGGTAATTTTATTTGGTAATAAGATAAATATTTTTCTATTAAATTCCAAAATCACCATTTTAATCACAACGAACTTTACTGATAATGAATACTATGTCAACGGGTCTTTACTTGTATCTTAAAACATTATTTAGGTTAAAATAATAAATTATTTAATAATAATAAGAGTTAAGCTTTTATAAATAGGCAACACAATGTTGATTTTTATGCATTCCACTTAAAAAAGTTATTTTCAATATCAGTAGAAGGGAGAACGTCAAGTGAATAGACATAATTCACTAGGATTGTTTTCTCAGTCTTCTTCTTTCAAGCAGATGAAAACATTGAATTTCTTCTTATTTTTTCAGGAGAAAGCAATACCGGTTACTCTTCAAGCTTATATTAGCTATGTGAATGAAGCCTTTGATCCTGCAGAGGGCTCTAAGAGTTTGTGGGAAGTTACCAATAAACCACAAAGCGAGACAATCAGCCAAGAATATATGCAACAAAGAGAAAATGCAATCACAGTACAGAGGCGGACGGTTACAGAAAGTGTTAATTCAAAAGAAAATGGGACGCACATAGAAAAGAGGACATACTTAGAAAATGGGAGGCTCAAAGAGAATGGGAGACACATAGAGGATGGGACGAACATAGAGAAGGGGATGTCAGAAGACAACAAGGCCTACTCAGGGAGCCTGACGCCCTCCAGTAACGGGTCCTGGGCAAGTGACTGTGACAGCGCCATTATATGACATAAATTAACTATAGATACTGAGAAGCAATATTGCATCGAATTATATATTGTATATATAAATTATTTGTCACGATGCAGTGCTAGGTGTTTATAAATATGCCAGAGCTTTAAATAAGTCCGGAAGCAGAGTAGTCTACATGTTCGGTTCGCAACAGAGGGATCTGGATTCAATCCCCGAGCAGGCTCAAAACGATTGGGCATGTTTCCTTTCACCTGATATATAAATATATCTGTTCACCCAGCAATAAACTTGGAACCCGGGAGTTCCGCAATTGTTGTGTTGCATCCTGTGGAAGGTCAATATTTGGGCTAGGCCCTCGCCAAGGAGAACCTACATAGACCTTCATAGAACCTACATAGAACCTACATAGAACCTACATAGACCTAAATCAAGATTTCCTGTCCCTCGACAACGGTAATAAGTTCATTTAATGTTTTTAAGTGATGAAGTAAGCTGAAGTATGAAGTGAATTAGCAAATTTTAGCGTTTGTTGATCATTTACGCCTGAATAAGTTCCTCTTGAGCCCTTGAGTTTATGTCGCTCCTCATACATTATTGTCATATTATTTTAGACCTGAAATGTTTCACTATGACTCATGATTTTCAGTAGCCGGAAGATGAGCCTAAAATGGCAGCAAATATTCTGAACAATCAATATATAATATAATATAATATAATATAATATAATATATATAAATATTAGCTGTAATTAATTGTTAAAAAGAAAATAATATAAAACATAAAATAATTCGCCAACAAATCTACTGTTGAAAACTGTAGCAGAATTCAGAAATTCGAGTATTTCAAAAGTACAGTTGAGATGTTCAAAGTCTTAAATATGAATTTAATTCATTCCAATAACGAGGACGTCGTGAAGAAACAAAGTACAACTGAATACAAATCTTTGGTAAGTTTTTATGAGCATTATAAGTATATTTGAAGATAACTTTGGCACTTGAAGCCACTGTGTGTCATATTGGAGAGAGATTTATGGAAATAATAATTTTATTATTTTTACAAAGAGTGTTTCATTGGCATTTTCTTTACAGTAACGTCAATTTAATTTAATATATAACCAACCACTGGTGACCGGCCTCACCAACAATGTGCTCCTAGGGACACCTTCGGCCTCAAATCCCACTGATATAATCCTCAAGGAAAAGCTGGACGAATTGAAGAGGATGTAAGAAAGAATAGGTGTTTTGGATACACAAGATATGTTTCGTACCTTCTGGATTGTACCTGGATGGGGTTCTGGGAGTTCTACCACTATCGAAGCCCGGCCCGAGGCCAGGCACGGCCAGGTCCTTATGCCAGGGGGTCCCTACTAACCCCTGACATAACAAGTTAAAACGGTTATGTCAGGTACACACTAATATTACTAACGTTACTAATTTCTCAAAGAGAACGTAATCAGTAACGTCCCAAAGAAACTGGGAAGTTGCCACGTATGCAGAATCCACTATTCGTATAATTTCTCTCTTGTAGTACCATAAAACTTTCAATGTGAAGAATAAATACGATAAAATAGTACTTATTAATGATTACTGCACCTAAATATCCAGTAAATCAAGCGTGGCTCTCCCCACGTCGATAATGACGTAATTTGAACCAAGCATGAATAGCGTCCCGAGCCAAGAAGAGACGCTACGCTTTACAACCCGTCTTCGACTCAAGTCCATTACATCCAGCGGTCGACCCCACTGACGCATTCCTAAATTTTTACATGCTGTTCATTCAAAACAAGAATTTTCTTAAATATAAATTAATATTATAATATATTAGCATATTGTGCATATATATAGGCATAGGTTAGGTTAGGTGTTTAGGTTCGGTTGGCGATTATTTGCATTTGTAGTACGTGGGTGAAGAATTAGTGTTGTGGTTCAAACAAAACTCGTCAGTGAAGCACTTGTTCAGGAGGTGTTCGAACGAAATCAGTTGTGAGTCGTGTGAAAACCGTTTTTCATTCGTACACAGGGGGTTTGTCGGGTGGATGGAACCACTTTTGGGTCTTTGTTTAGAGGACGGGCTGTCGCTTTAGGCAGACAGCATAAGACCCGAGCGCTTGGAACAGAAGCAGCTTATACGTTTGACCTCTTAATTGCCAAATATAGTCACAGTTCCCGAGCTCTTGCATAAGAAAAGAACCATTTCCGCTCTACCAACGAACTCAACGTACCAGGGAAGTGTTATTTCCGAGCAATTGTTGTAATTTATGTTATGTTACTAGTGTTGGATAATGCAGGGGTCACACTCCGGCATAATGATCATCATTATCATGATCTCTTGAACATTGCCCGGTTATGACGCATGCGCTCTAACAAAGTGGGTAAGCCTGATTATTTGGGTAAGCCTGATTATTAATGTAACCTCATCTTCTTGAGTATACGCTGTGTAGTGGTAACAGTGTAGTACTTATGAATTATTTGGCAAGTACCGTACCAGAAGAAGAGAGTATCGAGTCGATCTGTGCATCACGACGCTACCTAAGTCACCATTAAGACTCCATTAACTGTATCATCTGTGAGCTAAGGAAACCGATGCCCATTATTAGGCCTTTACGACTCAAGAGATTAGAACTGATATTTTCTACTAATCCATGTAGTAACTCCACTAACAAATTATTCATTTTGTAGTTTATGATAATTCACTATTGTGGTATAAATTACGAACGTAAATAACCCCCCCCCCCAAAGGTGAGGGTGGATAAACCCCAGTAGGAATATTTAACATAATACAGTCCACTTACCATATACAGTCCATTTCAATCATTTAATTTTAAAGTAGATTTCTACTAGTATTTTAACAGTACGTAATCAAACTCTTGCTGGGTAAAATTCCCCACAGAACCCATGTTGGTGGGGAGTCACAAAGTCCCTTCTCTCCACATGTTTCAGTAGTTTTATTCACATGATCTTCATCACCTTGCATGGTGTACAAGTTACAGACACTGACTTGTAGTTCAGTGCCTCTTGCCTGTCACCCTTTTTTTGTATATTGAGACTACATTAGTTGTCTTCCATATTTCTGATAGATCTCCTGTTTCCAGTGACTTATTATACACCATGAAGAAGGGAAGGGAACTATCAGGGAAAGCGCCATGCCATTACGACTATATAGCACTTGGAAGGGGTCAGGATAAGGATTTGGGATGGGACGGGGGGGAGGGGCGAAGGAATGGTGTCCAACCACTTGGACGGTCGGGGAATTGAACGCCGACCTGCATGAGGCGAGACCGTCGCTCTACCGTCCAGCCCAAGTGGTTAGACGGTAGTGGAAGAAACTCCACAATGGAGAGTGGAAGAAAAGTGCTTCTGCTCACACTTTTCGTATTCATACAGAGATTCCGCCAGGTCCAACAGCCTTTCTCACGTCCAGATTCAACAGATGCCTCCTAAATTCATCTCTGGTAATTTCGAACCTTTCCAAAGCTGTCTTATGTCCTTTGCTCTCGTATTGGCATCCTGAATCTTAGCCTTGAAACTTTTAAATATTCTGTCAGAGGCAGTGCTATATAGCTTTCCAGATTTGACAATTTATTTTGGTTATTACTTGCTTCAATATATTTGGATAATCCCTTCGTATGTTGAAACTTAAATTTCCTAAATAAGGCAATTTAAGGTATTGAATGTCTTTTTTTCGGCACATTACTGCCAATTACAAACGTCCTTATAATAACACTGCTATGATGACCACTTGTAGAAGCACTCAGAAGTCCAACGAAGCTAAGAGCCGCGACTCACTTTCCAAGGTTCACTTCTCAAGTTATAACTCCACTAAGGGTTGGCCTACTCAAGACAGAAAGTTTAATAGATCATGATATACGTTCATCGTGCCGGCAACCTTGGCTATAATGCACGAGACAGTCAAGTTTCTAACATCGAATGTATAACTGGATGAGCAAGATTTGCTCATTCTGCTCTGGGCCACTGAGGCCAGTCGGTATTACTAAGGAATATAGGTCTGACGGAAAATTCATTAACGTTAAACAGATTTATTAATTCCATTAATAGTGTTACATCTGGACAAAGTTACACAGTTTGCACCGCTATCAGTTCTCCCAGATAACACATATTGCACTTATGCACTTTTGCTGCACTAGTCCTGGATGGCTCACAGATTGACCTGAAGCTGCGAACTTGTTACTTTTTTCAACAGGCTATGAGCTGTCTCTGTCACATCTCATTATAAACTTTGTTCTCGGAACACAATCGCATATCGATATACACCCAGGTCCCCAGTTACTGTTGGGAACTGACGGAAAGATTTGCAGGTTGTTTCAACCAATACAGGGTTCAAACCTCAGGCCATTCTGTTGACCAGACCACGCACACTAGAAGGTGAAGGGACGACGGCGTTTCGGTCCGTCCTGGACCATTCTCAAGTCAATTGATTGTACTTTAGCCACGTTATTGTGACTCATCGTCCTCAGGCCATTCGCTTGTGAGGTGAGGGTGATAACCACTCTTCTAAGTGGCTTCAGTTAAACTGTGGTTATATCCCCCACAGTGGGTATGTCCCCTACACAGTTAAACTGTTGAGATATACCCCTAACTGTGGGGAAATCCACCCACAGTTAAGTTGTATGGATAAATACACTTAACTCTCTTGGTTTTTTATCTTAGAATTTTGTGACTTGATTTTTACACGTCTTGTTAAACCAAAAAGTTGCGATGTTTTTTGTTGCTGAAGGATTTGGGGCGTCTTGTTTTATCTGAAAATATATAGAAATAAATATAAAATAAATATCTGCGTTAATAACAGGACGAGATGTATAAACAGGACTATAATTAATTAGCTGAAGGCTTCTCAGGAGTGACTACGAAAACTTTGGCCCAGTCACTCCTCGCTCTACCAGGTAAAAACATTCCTTTATATCCTTCGTTTCATACTGTATTTCTTGGATAGGTAAGATAATTATTAGAAGAAAGCCCTAAACCACTTTGACTATATAGAACTTGGAAGGAATGAGGATAAGAATTTGGGATGGGACGAGAGGGAAGAAATGGTGCCCAATCACTTGGACGGTCGGGGATTGAACGCCAACCTGCAATAAAAGAGACAGTTGTTCTACCGTCCAGCCCAAGTGGTTGAGAGTATTCTTGGGCAGTTCAATTTACTTTTTTTTCAAGCCCATTTGTATCATTATCTTTCTTATCTCATAAACAGTCACCTGCGTTCTCAGATTCCAGCCATATTCCTAGATTAAAATCTTCCTGTTCCTCTTCCTCACTTCTCTTTTCATTCTTCCTGCTCATCCACCTGTTCCTCCCCGCCCATCAACCCATTCCTCCCCTCCTCCCCTGTAAACCTTGTCCTCCTCCTTCCCGCCCTTCTCCTATTCCTACCCATCTAGAATCTGCCACACAATACTCACCAGTCTTCCTCTCTTCAACACCCGCCTTTCTCTGTCGAGTGTGTGGTCGTAGACCTTAGAGAGCGCGTCCGGCAGGAGTGCCAGGAGGCCCAGCACCACACAGGCCAGGTTGAGGGAGGCGCTCTCCAGCATCCTGTAGTATACCCAGAAGATGCCGTACGTGGTGAACGGTTCTCTGTAAACACCAGGCCATGATGTTGCTGTTAATAATTTTGTTTTCTTACTTGTATTAACAATATGAGTATTTTAGAGCAATAAATAAATAAATTATATATTGGGTATAAGATATAACCTCCGTTTCCATGAGTGGGAGACATAAGCTCCATCCACCTTGCTTTGAGCAGGCTAACTAGGAAAGAGTCCAGGAGCAACTACCCGCTGCCCAACTGGAACTTTCGACTTTTCCCTGACTGCTACTAAAGCTCAGAGGAATTCGAGATCCACGCCCGGTCTCCCACTCGTGGGGTCGGCAGTTCGAGTCTCCTAGTGCCCAGGTGAATGAAATGATTATAGCCACGGTAGTGTGGTTGACAAATTATATGACGTGTGCGTGGATCACTAAATCCTCGTTGGAGGATTTAACTAGAGCCTGTAACACACGAAGCCGTGGCTAGCCGGTGGATGATACCTACACAGGCAGACCGCTGTATATAATGTAGGTGGCTGAGTAGCCCAGGAATGTAATGAGCAGCGACCCCACGAAGACTATGGTACAGTAGTGGCTCTCCAGTGCTATCTGCGGGAAGCGCCGGGAAGCGAAATATGTAGATTATGAAACGATTGTGATGTTTACAGGAGCCAATAAACAGGCATGAATGCGCTCTCATATAAAACAGTGGGAATACGGCTCCTTTATATTAACTAAATATGAAATTTGTGTCAATAACTATATGTTCACGGTCTTATGATAACCACTGAACGATGCTAGCCCCAGTTACCTTCAAGTTAGTGACGAAGACACACAGTGTGCCCAGCGCTAGTCCGAAGAGGTAGAGGTCCGGAGTCTGGCCGTCGGGCAGCCCGCACGTGTCGTCGAAGCAGACCAGCATCAACCCCAGGTACATCACGAGGGCGTGCCACAGCGCTGTGGGAGGAGAATGACATGTCAGCTCCTTGCACGAGTGCCCGTTGTTGCTGCAGGTTATAACACACTCGTTTATAGAATAATGTTGACAATGAGTTTAATACCGCGTTATGGTGGTATCTCTACAGCCTCCCTTTCACTCACCAAAGAGGTTCCATTTGAAGAACAGGCGCCAGGACATGCCGACGTTGTCCGCGTTGCGTTGGTAGAGATGCGGCCGTGACAGGAGGAGGTGCGAGGGAAGGTTCTGCTCGAAGAGGCCGAACACCAGGACCGGTAGAGTGGTGAAGGTGATGTTGAACATGGTCAGCACCAAACTCTCGTAAACACACTGCATGAAAAAAACATCCTGTCCTACATGCCACTTTAAATGTGATTATATATTTACTAAGAAATGGAGATTATACGTGTATAATTTGCTTTAATGTTTATATAATGCTAGAAAAAGTACCCCGGTTACTTCCCGGGATCTACGCTTTCACTCTGTTTTGCCCACTCCCCCTTTCTTCCTGCCTCCTCTTCCTCCTCTCCCACAATCTCCCACCTCTTTCCCCGCTTTTACGTCTCTTTCCCTATTCCCTCGCTTCCCGTCTCCACCTTTCTCCACCAGCATTCCCCCCTCTCTCCCACTCTCCTCCCATACCCCTTCTACCCTATCTATCTTTCTCCCCTCTCCCATAGCATCCCCAACCCTAGACTATATGAAGTGGAGTACAGTCTAACTCTATAAAATCCCCATCACACAGGATGGTTAGTCATACATCCTATCGCTTTCATCTCTTCACCCTCTTCTACCTCTCCCCCATCTTCCACCCCTCTTCCCCTATTTCACCCGGATAAACGGCAGGTGTGTCAAAATTCTACGGAACTCAAAACCATGATTTTATTTACACCATTAAAATCGCAGGGAAGGGTAGGCCAAGTTTTATGTGAACGTTGAGCCAGGCTAGCCCCAAGCATCTGTCTATTTGTTTTGGACAGATAAGGATAAAACTGAAGTAAACAGATAAGGATAAAACTTCTTCAGTTTCAAGTACTGAAAAAGACGTAGATTTAAAATAAGTAAAATTTTTGACTAAAGGGGAAGAACAATTTATTCTGTCACGCATCCGGCAACACTGGCTTTAGAGAAAACACTCTTAGAGGTGAGCGAATACTTGCTGAGTGACGCAACTCAAACCAAGCCAGTTGTTGTGAAGAATCAGCGTAGCAGGATAGCACCTCTGCACAAACCTGCGTGGAGAGAGCGCTCCATGCAGTGTAGAACACTATGGGTGTGTTGAAAGCCACGTTCTTATAAAAGGAGAACTGGACGAAAACAGTGACACGAACGTAGTTCCAGTGACCGTGGACGAAGAGCACCTTCTGTAGGAACCGGAATCTTGATATGCCGAAGTCCGCGCACCTCACTGCCTGTCGACCTTCCTTGCCCATGATACCTGCCGGTGATATCTCCTGTCTCATGTCTGATGGTATAAGGTGACGTCTGGATCAATATATACATAAAACTTAATCCTGCTAAACATCTTATATGTAGATACATTAACAAACATCTTGGGGTGCACTCCAACATTTTTAATGAAATTTAAGTTATATATACAAATACTGACCTAGACCGACGTTGGCTTCTTTGATCATGGGGACGTCGTTGGCGCCGTCCCCGACGGCGGCGCAGACGGGTCTCTCGCTCGAGGTCTTCACCAGCCGCACCGTCTGCACACACAACACCCAAGTCCTCAGTAACCTCACGTGTTTATCATGTCTTTATATCATCTAATAATACTTTTGTCTTCGTTTCCCTAGTAAATGTTCAGTAAAATGGGGACAGTCATGAAACAATTATGATATTTAGACTACTCGTGTAGGGTTAAATTTTACTCAAGGCCCATGAAAAGTTATGCTACAAGCTAACGATAGCTTTAGAGATATCAGACCATGTTCATGCAGATGTGGTGAGATCATTTGGGCCGGTTACAGCAGGAAACACCAATTTCCCGCTTTATGACTTTTATATAGTGACGAAACATGACGCGGAATTACCTTAAAGCAACGTGTTAATAATACTGGAGGAATGTCAGTGCAAATACCAAGCAGTTTGGGTGCCTGGCCACGAATGAAGGCTCGTGGTCAGGCGTTCATGTACGGTGCTTCAACATTTCCGTCGCCTCTCACCTCAGCTTTTTGCCTGGGAGACATCCTGCAGCAGACAACGGCCCAACACCTGCGGCAGAGCGTGTAGAAGTCGTCCCTCAAGTGGTCGAGCAGCCAGAGCAGGGACACGCCGTCCACCACCAGCCCGAACGAGCCCTCCGCCCTCGAGGCTTCTCTAGGGATCAATAATATTGCAACACCTCATATCAGCTCCCATGTTTTGACCTGTATGTGTGTGTGTTTGTGAGTCTCTCCGTATATATTTGGGGTAAGTTGTTGCATCATTACACGGTAAACTGTATGTGTATATGTTCTGATCTATTTGTTCGTGTTCGTGAGCTTCAGTTCTTGGACTTCAGCCTTCAGCCACTGGTGTCTGGACTGGAGTCTGTCTCCATCCCTTCGTTCAATAGTTTTATTAACTTATTCACAACTTTAACAGTAAAAATGTTTTTTCTAACTTCCACGTGACTCTTTCGGCTTCTATGTTTCCCCCTGTTACCCCCCATTTTTTTCCTCGCAAACAATGCACCATGAAGCGTCCGCGTCACAAACAATGCACCATAAAGCACCCCGTCACAAACAATGCATCATGAAACACCTACGTCACAAACAATGCACTATGAAGCGCCTCACGGCACAAACAATGCACCACGACGCGCCTCACGTTACAAACAATGCACCATGAAGCGCCTCACGGTACAAACAATGCACCATGAAGCGCCTCACGGCACAAACCATGCACCATGAAGCGCCCACGGTACAAACAATGCACCATGAAGCGCCTCACGGCACAAACCATGCACCATGAAGCGCCCACGGTACAAACAATGCACCATGAAGCGCCTCACGGTACAAACAATGCACCAGGGGACCATCACACTACAAAGAACATACTGGCACTGTCGCAGGGAGGCGACGGCGTGGTCAAGGTCCCGGAGGCCGGTCAAGGAGAGGACAGTCATGAACCGCTTGAAGTGACCGCAGGAGTAGGCGATGTTGACAGCCGTCTCCACCTTGTCCCCCGTCAACACCCACACCTGATGTGAAGATCGACATTATTATGCTGATTTTATTTGTAATTTTATTGCCATTTAATTTGTAATTGATTGTAATTATCTTTCGTGATGCATCTGTATGTGAGGAGAAAAGAGTAATTATAAAAGTGAAAGGAGCAGAGGAGAACTTATTGAGTATAATTGCTATTGAATGTGCTTTTAATAAGTGAATGTGGAACGCCTGGATGGTATCGATTCGACGTTACTTTGGCTCAGGTGATATGGTGTGAGATGCTCCTCTTCGACTCGGTAAGTCACGCAGTGTGGGAATATAATAATAACATTGTTAATGATATTAGTATTTTGATGTTTTGGTTGTAGAATCATTTAATCAAGGAATCTGGTGATGGGTAGAATATGCCTACCAAATGTTTGGTCTAGTTATTCTGAGCCAGTTGAATGTGTGTGTGTGTATATATATATATATATATATATATATATATATATATATATATATATATATATATATATATATATATATATATATATATATATATATATAATTTTCAGCTGAATCCACAAGGGATTCAACTGAATCCATGTTCTCTGGCCTGTGAATATATCCATACGTTATATGGATATCCATATAACGTTAAAACATTGATTGTAACCATGATATATATGTGTTTTCGCCTACAATTTAGACCTATTGTCTTGTGTATGACCCTCTGTCCTGCGTTACAATGGATACCAGCATTATCCTCACTTTAATAAGACTTAATCGAAATCGTCAGATTAGGCAAAATTGTAATTAATTTTGTCAATAAAGATGTAAATAATAATAATCTGGCCTGTGGTCAAGTAGTTCTCCTCTCACCGCCCGGAGAAACTCACCTTAATGCCCGCCGCTCTGAGAGACTCCAGAGTCTCCTGAACACCTTCCTGTAGAAGGTCCTCCACCGCGGTGGCTCCCAGCAGCCTCAGCTCAGTCTCCATGTTCTCCATCACCTCCTTCACCGCCGCCTCCCGGTCCTCCACCACCTGCACAAAGGTCAACAATAGGGTCAACAAGCTTACCACGACACCAGAGGTCATGAAGGCCACCCATTAATACCAGGGGTCATCAATGTACACAACGAGGTTGGAATAGTCCTCAATGTCACTATGGGCACCAGGGGTCATCAAGGTCAAAGTTCATTAAGTCTCAAGCGTCAACAAAGTCACGAGTTCGGTTATGATCCAAGAACCAAGATGAGCATCAGTTAGTTTATCTGTAATTGACACGAAGTAATTTTGTCCCGTCAAATATGCAAACATATAACAAAAGATAATGTGAAAATCTATGTTATCCTTTACTTCAAAATATGAGAGGGAGGGGGACCAGAAGAAAGGGTATTGGCACTGAGTGATGATAGTCCCGTGAAATCAGATGAGGTGTGAGGTGGCAGAGAACTTGGGTGTGTGAGATGGCCAGAAGAAAGAGGCCCCTTGTTACCAACCTGGCGAGCGTTCTCCAACTGGTCCGCCAAGATCCTGTACTGCTTGTAAGAGAGTTCTCTCCGACCCACCGCCAGCGTCCTCAGGCCTCGCTGATCCCGACCATGGGAGAGAGACAACAGTTACAGAGGCAAGGTGGGACACAGACAATAATATCTCTGAGTTTCTCTTTCATTCTTGCTCTTAACCTCCCAACCCTCTTGTCGACTTACCTATTCTTTCTCACTCTTTTTCACCCTCACCCTCCTGCTCCCTCCCTACATCACTGCTCACCATGGCGTAGTCGTTGATGTGGGAGAGGGTGGTGTAGTGGAGGCGCTCCAGCTCCGGAGTGTTGATGCAACATCGCTTCAATACGCTGCTCTCGGCTCCCTTCGTCAGCAGCCAGATCTTGCCCGACGCCTCCTCTCGCACCACCACCGACATGCACTTCCGGTCTGAGGACACACACATTCTTCTCAGACTGGGACATTTCGAGTCGGTGGGGGCAGATGAAGTTTAGAATATAAGTGAACACAGAGTTTCCGGCCATTTCAACGAAAACTATAGATATATTGCTACAATTTTCAACAACGTACTTGTGTGAGGAAACATTTTCAGGTTTAACGAATATAAAAATCCAAGAGAGGAATAGACTGATGTCTATGGAAGAAGAGGTTCGTGAGTGCCAATCAGAGATGCGACGACGGATTAAGATGTCGTGTTCAAAAACGCAAGCCCAGGTTTTAGATTAAATTAGGAGGCAATTTGAATCACTATTATTCTGATGAAACGTAATGTTTTCAATTGTGAATATATTCTAAACCAATAAAATGTAACTTTTTTCGATAACATGTTTATAAAAACAATAATATAACAAAATCATTACCCAAAAAATACACTATATTTATTACATTAAGCCAGATATAAAGTGAAAAATATTTGTATTTTTCTTATTGAAAGTTATTAGTTAATAGAAATAGCCAATAAATACTTTAGACATATTACATTCAAAAGTATGAGCTAATTATAATTTAATAACCCCTACTCCTTTACACATCTATTTTGTAATTAACCCCCTGTTGAAGCTAATATGTCAGCCAGGTAGGGAGTCCCTGGGAATTTACGAAATATTTCAAGGGTTCCGCCAACCAGGAGAAAAGGGCAGCAGAGTATTGGAACAGCAGAGATTGGACTCTGGTGTAGGTGTATTGGAGCCTACACCAATCTCAATTGGAGATTGGATACACCTACACCAATCTCAATTGGAGATTGGATACACCTACACCAATCTCAATTGGAGATTGGATACACCTACACCAATCTCAATTGGAGATTGGATACACCTACACCAATCTCAATTGGAGATTGGATACACCTACACCAATCTCAATTGGAGATTGGATACACCTACACCAATCTCAATTGGAGATTGGATACACCTACACCAATCTCAATTGGAGATTGGTGTAGGTGTATCCCACCTAGCTCAGTTAGGTGGGATACACCAACACTGAAGACAAATGATCTTATTTCTTAGAGTCTCAGAGTCACTCAGGCCCCGGCGCTGACCTGGGTCAAAGTGGAGGACCTGCAGGCGCGTGTATGACCAGAGGCGGCCCCGGACACGGACGCTCGCTTGACTCCCCTTCATCCCTGCAAACACAACGCCGCACCTGACGGTAAAGTTGATTAGTGTCATCATCATCATCACTATTATCATCATCATCGTCGTCTATACCAAAGTGGTTCAGCGTCTTCGAAACTATGGGTCATTTCAGCACTAAACGTATAAGTCGAGGGCTATAAAACTATACTATAAGAAAGAAGGTCTGCCTGCTCTTTCATCTGACACAAAGCTCTCTCACCCGTCAGCACGTTCTCTCACCTGTCAGCAAACTTTCTCACCTGTCAGCAAGTTCTCTCATCAGGCAGCAAGGTCTCTCTGTGCCCGCTATATCACTACTTACTTTAGAGTATTGTGTGGTCGTCTCCTGATCTATGCTGTGTATAATCCCGTGTATAGAACAGAGCAGCAACATATTGTTGTGTGTACCTAAGTCTGTTAATAAAATAGACGCATCTGTTACTAAACTCTCATCACTTCTTCTCAAAACACTCACCCTTGTAAATAAATACTCACCTGGCGCAGGCTTCAACAATAGCCTTCTCGTCCGGGCTTGAGGCGTGGTACTCTGGGATCAGTTCCTGCATCCCTGCCCCTTCTTCGTGTGTTGGCTCTTCGGGTGTTGGGTCTTCGGGTGTTGGGTCTTCGGGTGTTGGGTCTTCGGGTGTTGGGCGTGGAGAGACTGCCTGCACCGTGTGACACAGTGCCAGGGTCACCAGGAACCTCACCACCGCCTCCTGCAACGAGGGCAAGAGGCTAGCGTATGGCACAGTACGTGTTTATGAGGTGGGTGGAGGTAACTGTATTTTGTGTGTGTGTGTGTGTGTGTGTGTGTGTGTGTGTGTGTGTGTGTGTGTGTGTGTGTGTGTGTGTGTGTGTGTGTGTGTGTGTGTGTTGGGGGCGAGGGAAGGGGAGGGGGTATGATTAACCATAACATATTGTTAAACAGGTATTCAACGGTTGACTTGAGCCTGTACCCCAGTGTGCGTCGGCCCGTCGTCCCCGTGTTCAAATATACAGTGACTCAGAGCGAGCAATACATCGTGTCCACCGCCTACCGGAAGGTGCCCGAGGGGCTTTGAAGCAAACGTCTCCTCCCGCAGAAGATGGAGACCTCCCTCTGCTTCAGTGTACCTGACGCCCTCTACAGAACACTGTCGGAAGTGCATGATGTTCTCCGTCAGCGTTCCCGTCTTGTCGGTGAAGAGGTACTTCACCTGGGGAGGAAGAGGAGGAGTACCAGAGAGACAGTCAGGGACACAGAGATACACAGGTAAGTACATTGAAGGAAATTTTAACAAAATCTCACAGTCGAGATTCTTCATAAAGGGTTACCCGCTGGCATTACTGACTTGTGATTAGTGGCAACACTTAAATTGGATAAGGCTCCTAGAGAGAACAAACACACACACACACACAACTACCAACAATTCACGTTAGTTGATAATATATAAAACATAAGTGAACAAAGAACAATTGCATTTTTGTTCCTTTGCTGACCAAATGTGATCACTTAAAGTACGACCATAAGTGAATAATGGCGTCGCCAACACACACCTCTGCTTCGTTTTCTAATCTCTCCTTTACACTTTGTTTACCTGTCCCAGCTCCTCATTTAGGTCGGAGGTGTTGACACGCGCCCCGTCGTCGTCGCCGCCGCCGCCGAGGGCCACGTCCTCGTCCCACCGCAGGAACATCGTCCCAAGAAACTTCTGCATCTCTGGGGAGGACGAGATCGGAGGACGCTCCGGGTTACAGAACTGGGTAATATAAATTGTCATCCACACTTCCCAGGAAATAAATATTCCATTCGCCTGGACTCTAGGGGACTCTATCTGCCGACTCCACGTGTGGGAGGCCGAAGCTCTATCAAATGCGCTATTGAGGAGTCTTAATAAGGATAGAGTCCAGAAGCAGATATCCTGCTGCCAAACTGGAAAATTTCAGTTTGGCAGCAGGATGCTGCTTCTGGAATCTTTCCTTATTAAGACTCCTCAATAGCTCATATGATAGAGTTTCGGCTTCACACACACGTGGGGTCCACAGTTCGAGTCTCTTAGAACCCAGCTGGGCAATGATTGCTTATGAGGACGAGGGGTTGGTAGGGATGGGTTGTCGACTTGACGACAAGAGATTAGAAATTCTAGAAGCTATCCTCGCAAAAAAAAAGTTCTAATATAAACATTTAAATCAACAAGTTTGCATCACTACCAACATGAAGGCTAGAGTATTTTCTTCTCCGAGGCTATGGGTCCCTACGATTGCACCAGAGCTGGTACCTCTTTTAGGTATTAAAAAAAATATTAGAGTACTGTATATATATATATATATATATATATATATATATATATATATATATATATATATATATATATATATATATATATATATATATATATATATATGATAGAGAGGACTTACCCAGCGTGACGTAGAGGGAGATGGGAATGATGTAGCTGAAGATGATGAGAAAGGAGAAGATGTCTTGGTACACATCATCAAAAGTCACTGTTCCGTTGTTGGTCTGTCCCACGTACCACATCGTACCTGCAAGGTCATACACGGCTACGTCAACCCAGGGACACACACGGCTACGTCAACCCAGGGACACACACGGCTACGTCAACCCAGGGACACAAGGCTACGACAACCCAGGGACACACACGGCTACGTCAACCCAGGGACACAAGGCTACGTCAACCCAGGGACACACACGGCTACGTCAACCCAGGGACACACAAGGCTACGTCAACCCAGGGACACACAAGGCTACGTCAACCCAGGGACACACACGGCTACGTCAACCCAGGGACACACAAGGCTACGTCAACCCAGGGACACACAAGGCTACGTCAACCCAGGGACACACAAGGCTACGTCAACCCAGGGACACACAAGGCTACATCAACCAAAGGTCAACTTCTTGGTTTAATCCTGGGTAGTCTCATGGCACAATATTCGCAGTTTATAACAAGACCTGATAATTTAACACACAAATTATACGAAATATATTTTATAACATATTACAGTTTATTAAATTAACTTACAAAGCATTGGTTTATTTAAGTTTCTAGCTGGAAAACCGGCGCGATGCTAATAGCTCTACTTTACTGTTCAAAGTTAATATGTAAAAAGAACAATAAATTTGCAGATCAAAATACAACAGGTGTTCCTTTTAATCGTTCAGTGGTTTTTTCCGTTTTCTGTGAAGCGCTCATCTACACGGGTTGTTCTCTCACAACACCAGGCGGGTGCTGGGCGTTAACCGAGTGATTACCGTGACTGTAACCCAGTTTCCCGTCTGTGTTATTACCGTCCAGGTGTGTCATGTCTGTGTGTGGTGATCCCGTGAGAGGCGCTGTTTGTTGTTGTTTAAGATTCGCTGCCCGGAACAAAAAGTTCCAAGTAGCACGGGCTAAGGTGAGCCCGTAGTGGACTTAGGAGCACCACTCTACTCACTCATGACATCGTGGTCGTAGAGGTGGTACTTGAGGGCGGTGCACGCCGCCACCTCCAGCGCCAGCACCAACAGGAAGAACGCCAGGAAATAGTTCATCGACCTGTGGATGGTGGTAAGTAGCCAGCATTGTAAAATAAAACTGAAATTGGAATAAGTTTTGTTGAGGTCAATACACACAAAGGGATGAGGTAGCTTAAGCAACTCTCCCTCGCTTCTATACAACGTGTTCATATATATATATATATATATATATATATATATATATATATATATATATATATATATATGTCGTACCTAGTAGCCAGAACTCACTTTTCAGCCTACTATTCAAGGCCCGATTTGCCTAATAAGCCAAGGTTTCCTGAATTAATATATTTACTATAATTTTTTTCTTATGAAATGATAAAGCAACCCTTTTCTCTATGTATGAGGTCAATTTTTTTTTATTGGAGTAAAAATTAACGTAGATATATGACCGAACCTAACCAACCCTACCTAACCTAACCTAACCTATATTTATAGGTAAGGTTAGGTTAGGTAGCCAAAAAAAGCTAGGTTAGGTTAGGTTAGGTAGGTTAGGTAGACGAAAAAACATTAATTCATGAAAACTTGGCTTATTAGGCAAATCGGGCCTTGAATAGTAGGCTGAGAAGTGCGTTCTGGCTATTAGGTACGACATATATATATATATATATATATATATATATATATAACTTTAGAACACTTTCTAAAGCTATATAGATATATATATATAGTTATATATATATATATTAGAATATATATATATATATATATATGTCGTACCTAGTAGCCAGAACGCACTTCTACGCCTACTATGCAAGGCCCGATTTGCCTAATAAGCCAAGTTTTCATGAATTAATTGTTTTTCGACTACCTAACCTACCTAACCTAACCTAACCTAACTTTCTCTACTACCTAACCTAACCTAACCTATAAAGATAGGTTAGGTTAGGTTAGGTAGGGTTGGTTAGGTTCGGTCATATATCTACGTTAATTTTAACTCCAATAAAAAAAAAATTGACCTCATACATAATGAAATGGGTAGCTTTATCATTTCATAAGAAAAAAATTATAGAAAATATATTAATTCAGGAAAACTTGGCTTATTAGGCAAATTTGGCCTTGCATAGTAGGCTGAGAAGTGCGTTCTGGCTACTAGGTACGACATATATATATATATATATATATATATATATATATATATATATATATATATATATATATATATATATACATTACATACATTAAAGTTAAGGATACTACAGAAAGCCAATTGGACCATATATGGTATCACCTATTTATATCCACCAACACTCATTCATATATATGTCTTACCTACGCATGAAACAATCAAGTTATCCCACGTCTATTATGTCACCCGGTAATCTGCTGTACAAATCAACAACCCTGTTATCTAGCCGGTATTTACCCAGGTATTTCCTACATCTAAACTTGTCCAATTTATATTCATTTATTCTTCCTCATAATATTGTGGCATTAACTGTCATCCTACGCTGGACGTCTTCAAGTGAATTTATGTCCATTCTATAGTATGGCGACCAAAATTGACTGTATACGCTAAATGGGGCCTAACAAGAGTAAGATACAGCTGAAGAATAGCATTAGGTGTTTTAAAACCAATTGGAGCTATGATGAGGATTCGAAACCTCGACCTGGGTACTCCCGCCCGGGACAACGACGCGGTATATTTATTCATTTATTTATTTTTATATACAAAAATTCTTACATTCTTGTAAAGCCGCTAGCACGCAAAGCGTTTCGGGCAGGTCCTTATTCCTAATTTTCCCCGGAATACGACCCTCTAAATTGTTTAACAACCAGGTACCCATTTACTGCTGGGTGAACAGAGGCGCACAATTAAGGCTTGGCGCCCCTGTCAATTTAGCATCACTGGGGTAGGAGAGTGTTGCTGGGAGCCCGGACGCCCATTGGAGATCATGGCACTTACAGGGTACGTCCAGGAGTGGGCACTCTTCAGCAACTGTCTCCACAATGTCACGACAAATGGGAAACTTTGGCAAGCCGCCGGTTTCCTGTCCTCGTCGAGGCCACTAGAGAGACACTGGTCCTAAGGTAAATTCAGGTAAATAGGACTGCTCTCCTTCACACACTCACTTTTCTACTGTGGAGAACTTGTTGCTGGCTCTCTTTGAGTTTAGGGCCATCTTGGTCTCCATTCCAGTGTACACCGCCACACCTGCAAGATGGGAGCTGCTGTTAGCTCGGGGTGTCTCGTTAGATTTATAATTGTTGGTATAGTAAGAAAAAGTCACACATAATTTCGTGAGACTGACCATAGACGGTGGAGGTGTTCTTGAGTCTGGCGCCCCTGGGGAGGAGGTTCTCCGTGGCCAGGGAGGCCGTGTCGGCCTGGGAGGCCGTGTCGGCCAGGGAGACCCCCCGGTACACCTCCAGCCGACCCTTGAAGTCGTACAGGTTCGGGTGCGGCAGCTGAAGCGAAATGTTATTTTATTCAGACTTATGATCTAATTAAATAATAGTGTGTATGGGAACTAAAGCTCAGTTCTGCAAACACTTGTTATGTAAACACACACACACACTCACACACACACACACACACACACACACACACACACACACACACACACACACACACACACACACACACACACACACACATTCACACACACACACACCAACCTGGAATCTATACCAGGAAAAGAATATTATGAAACTATAAAATTTACATGAGGGCCACTAGCACTCTTGTGGCCTCAACGAGGACAGGAAGCCGACGGCTTGTCAAAGATCCCCCTCCTCCCATTTGCCCTAGACTGTGCAGCACTATGTGACAAGGCTTGTGTGCCTAGTGAAGGCCTAGCTGGCCTGCCTGTCACAGCACAACCATAGGCGCACATCTTAAGATATAGATATAAATTAACTACATGAATATCTTGTTTTTTGTTTTTTAATGAAAGAAAATATGAAGGAAAAACTATTTAAAAATGCTCCAGATCCATATACTATTTTAAATATACTGAATTTCATATTAATATCAAGGTAGAAAAACTCCACAATAATGATGATGGCATCTTTGACAAGCCGCTGATTTCCTGACCCCGTTAGGTTCACAAGAGAGATAATGGCTCTCAGGTAAATTCAGGTACTCAGTATAAATATTTAGTTCAAATGTTACCCTTACTTTTACATTCTCTTACAATATAATAGAAAATGTTAAGTAAGGTGATACTGAATTAAAATACAAAATATTAAACATTTCAGTAAAAAATTATATATAAACAAATGTACGAACCCAAGCAACCCACCTAACCTATTGAGTACTTTGCATAGAAAACGCAGGTATATGCGAGCTTATAGTTTTCATAATAGGTTGAATGTGTAAAGTTAGTAACCATAACGTACAAAACGCGACCTATTAGTTGAGAGGACGAACCATAGCCGCGTGGAGGCACCCAGCGCCTCACCTTTTTGTAAGCTTTTTTTTCCTCTGACCTTTTTTTTGTTGTACATTTTTTCTTGTGGATTGTGACTGCTCTTTGTGCTGACCGTGTTTCTTACTTTTACCTCAAAACTAGTTTCGTGACTCGAGGAGTTTCGTGGCTCGAGGAGTTTCGTGCCTGGAGGAGTTTCGTGGCTCGAGGAGTTTCGTGGCTCGAGGAGTTTCGTGGCTGGAGGAGTTTCGTGGCTCGAGGAGTTTCGTGGCTCGAGGAGTTTCGTGGCTCGAGGAGTTTCGTGGCTCGAGGAGTTTCGTGGCTCGAGGAGTTTCGTGGCTGGAGGAGTTTCGTGGCTCGAGGAGTTTCATGCAGTTGTTAAGGTAGTTTTGTTCAGTTTTGTCTTGATTTGTTAGTAATGCGCAAGTAAACCGCGATAATAATAATTACTGATTATTATGTAATAATAATTGTCAACACGTGATCTGAGAGGGAAGAGAGAGACAAGCGGAAGGTGCCTAACGCGGTACCCATAAGAAAGGGTTAAGACCATTACAATATTCATGCCTTGAATAATGAAAGAGTAATGAACGTCCAGGAAAGACTTAAGTTTACAACTAATCCCCAACACGGATCCGAGGTAAGTTAGCTCATCCTGACACACATCTGTAAGTGATGAGAAATGACAAGTTATGATGGCTGACGTATTGGTCTGGTACCGAGAAGACTTCGATGCTGCGCCACACTAGCAGCTTCTCTTCAGACTCGTGTAGCAAGCTCGTGTAGTTGGAATACTTGCATACTTGGTTCAGAAGCACGTAGCGAGGGCAAGTGACAGTGAGAGGGAAGTAGTCGGTATGGAAAGACGAGGGAGAACACCATATTGCAAGAATCAGAAATGGATCCAATCCTTTTCCTCATATATTGTCAATGATTTGACGAAGGAGTTGGATTGTTACATGTCCGCTGAGTGAAGGGTCAAAATAAAGAAAGAGGGCAGTATATATCCAATCATATGATCATATGTCCTTGAATATATATACATATATATTTGAAACACACTCACACACACACACACACACACACACACACACACACACACACACACACACACACACACACGCTGCTAATCTCATAGTTGAAAGTTCTTCGGTCCCTTTTTGCATACCAGACTAGACCTATACAGTGAGCTTCGTCATGACACTCATTATCATTTGCTTCAACAAAAACATTAACATTGTGCTGGAGCGACCAAGCAGACCAGCGCGTCTCAGCACACCGTTCTTGTTCTCTGGTAAGCTGGCGTCTGCCTCCCTCCTTGTGAATTCCTTGTCAGCTTGGGTTACTTGTTGGAGTTGGATTCTGTAAACCTGTCAGAATAAGGGGGGAAGGATATGTGCTGTAAGAGAGTATCTGTGTGTGTGTGTGTGTGTGTGTGTGTGTGTGTGTGTGTGTGTGTGTGTGTGTGTGTGTGTGTGTGTGTGTGTGTTTGTATCTTTAGCACTGACCTGGCACACAATGGTGGCACTCAGGTGCCAAAGGTCGCGAGGGGAATGAAGGTCAGAGGTCAGGGTCGGACACAGGAACGTCTGGAACAAGAGCACGTGGACTGAGCATTAAAATTACACTCTGAAATTCTCTTAATAAAACAACATATTTAATCAACACTTTCATCATATTACTTGCATTTGTGTTTACTACTTAACGCGACACTTCTAATTATTAAAATAACACTTTCTAGACTAAAACGCTATTTACTTGAAGAAACTAAACCCAATATCGTAAACGATACATTGCATAAGAATTCAGGAAACTGCATAAGGTTTGCTGGCTTATATGAGGCAGCTCCTATATATATATATATATATATATATATATATATATATATATATATATATATATATATATATATATATATATATATATATATATATATGTCGTATCTAGTAGCCAGAATGCACTTCTCGGCCTACTATGCAAGGCCCGATTTGCCTATTAAGCCAAGTTTTCCTGAATTAATATATTTTCTCTAATTTTTTTCTCATGAAATGATAAAGCTACCCATTTCATTACGAATGAGGTCAATTTTTTTTATTGGATTTAAAATTAACGTAGATATATGACCGAACCTAACCAACCCTACCTAACCTAACCTAACCTATCTTTATAGGTTAGGTTAGGTTAGGTAGCTGAAAAAGTTAGGTTAGGTTAGGTTAGGTAGGTTAGGTAGTCGAAAAACAAATAATTCATAAAAACTTGGCTTATTAGGCAAATTGGGCCTTGCATAGTAGGCTGAGAAGTGCGTTCTGGCTTCTAGGTACGACATATATATATATATATATATATATATATATATATATATATATATATATATATATATATATATATATATATATATATATATATATATAGGGGGGTACCACCTCTGGTGCAATTATAGGGACCCACAGCCTCAGAGAAGGGATATATATATATACATACATATATATATATATATATATATATATATATATATATATATATATATATATATTTTGGTAGCAGTCTTGCCTGTAGACATATATTATTAAATATGACCGAAAAAGTAAGATTAATAATTCTAACACGAATTTTCTCAATCTTTCGTACATTTCTTTTCACTGTTGGAGGTAAATCAAAAATCAATTCTCCAAAATTCATTTTTATTTCTAGTCTGACGCGACACGAGCGCGTTTCGTAAAACTTATCACATTTTCAAAGACTTTAGACATTTGAGTGAGGTGGAAGGGGTGATGTGGCATTAATAGGGTATTAATTTCATCAACACAAGACAGAACAAGAGGTGGCATTAATAGGGTATTAATTTCATCAACACAAGACAGAACACGAAACAATGGGTATTGAATAGAAGTGTTTGTAGAAAGCCTATTGGTCCATATTTCTTGATGCTTCTATATTGGAGCGGAGTCTTGAGGTGGGTAGAATATAGTTGTGCAAGAATATTATTGCACAACTATATTCTACCCACCTCAAGACTCCGCTCCAATATAGAAGCATCAAGAAATATGGACCAATAGGCTTTCTACAAACACTTCTATTCAATACCCATTGTTTCGTGTTCTGTCTTGTGTTGATGAAATTAATACCCTATTAATGCCACATCACCCCTTCCACCTCACTCAAATGTAGATATAAAATCGGAGATGCGTAAGTTCTATTCTCAAACGTCATGGCGTCTGGTGGAGGTTCGCGCAGCGTCTCTCCTGCAAATATTGACGATACCTTTGAGGACACTGGGGAACCACTGTTGCATGCCACACATTTAGATCATGAACATCACCCGGTCTTAGAAGAGGATCTAGATGGAGTTTTCCTAGACAGCAAACATCACAGCAAGGCAAACAGATTGGAGGCGAAACGCCGCCAACTTACAGAGGTAAACAGAGACCATGCCGGCACCACGCGGCCTCAGTATCAACCTCCACAGCTCAACCAAGGTAGGCTAAGTTCTTCTGATTTGCAAACTTTCATCATTGCCTTTGATGGCGAAGAGGAAAATGTGTTCAGAAATAGCCGAGCACAAAGTATCTTATATAATGCCATTCCCAAGATATTCGGGATCAACGTGCACAATATGAGACCAAATAAACAGAAAAACCTGATCGCAGTGGACCACAAACATGGCGAAGAACTAAAGCTTTCAGACATTACTGACATCTGTGGCCACAAAGTCAAGTGCTATAAACAACTAGGGGACCGATTAACAAAATATGTAATCCGACATGTTGTAGACATCAGTGTAGACGACATCAAAGCACAACTTGAGACACATGACATCCCGATCCATGGAATCAAAAAATTTATGCGAAGAACAAACAGAGAACTGAGTGATACAGGCACTGCTCTGCTTACCTTTCTAGACTACATCTCCCCTGAGAGGATTTGGTTAAACAGCTTCCTCCATAAACTAGAGGTGTATATACCACGTCCCTCTCAGTGTTTTAAATGTAAAGGTTTTAACCATACCTGGAAAGGCTGCACCAAAGACATTAAATGTGGGAAATGCTCTGGTTCCCATTACACGCAAGATTGTACATCAGATACACTCACCTGCTCAAACTGTGGTGGCGACCACGACATTACATTCAAACAATGTCCCTCATACATAGCAGCAGCAGCAAAAACTAAGATTCTCCCTACCAACAACCTGCTATACAGTAGTGCACTGAAACAACCTAACACAGCCCATCATCAAACACTACCTCACACTCAAACACAGCCTTTGCTTGTACCTGATATATCTGTCACCGACACTCCCACAACCCCAGGGTCCAACCATCCCTCACAAAATGCACAACTGAGTCCTGATCTTGTTGAAACTCTTGTCACTCGCATTGAAAATGATCTTGTTGAAACTGTTGTCACGCGCATTGAAAATGCACTAGAAAAGACGCTGGACCGACTGCTAACTAAATTCTTTACACAAGTAACACAACCCACCCCTGAGGCTGACCCAAAAGACATCCCATCAACAGCTACAGACACTGACATCCGCCCAAACAAAGCCACCATTGCTGGACACACATTGTTTGAACAGATGATAGAAAAACTCATAAATAACTCCCTAGCACGCCTTACCAAAATCATTCCACAGGCTGACTTGCCACAAACCCAAACCGCCAGTACCAAGAGTAAGGCACAGCCCACATCCACATCTAGGTATCCAACACGTACTACTACTGGCATGCCAAGGAAAACAGACACATCCATAACCCACACATCCTAAATGGCTCCCCTAACATTCATGACTTGGAACGCAAAAAGCATTAAAACATCTCTCACAGAACTTAAACAATTCCTTTACTCATCCAAACCGGACTTAGCTTTCATAACCGAATCCTGGCTCACCCCTAAACAAAATCCTATTTTTAAAAACTTTCAGATGCAGAGACTGGACAGACCAAACCGTATGGGTGGTGGTATTTTCCTCCTAACACGGAGTAACATGACATGTAAACCTGTAACGCTTACACATTTTGTAAATGGTAAGCTAGAAATTTTAGCATGCCTAATACCCTACAATGGTACACACATATCCTTTCTGGGTATATACAACCCTGGTGGCACAATAAATTTAAATGAACTAGAATTCTATCTAAACCAACTACGACAACCGATCATTGTTACAGGTGATCTCAATACAAACCACCCCACATGGAGTAGAGGCGCCCAGAATACTGCAGGCACCGATTTATATAACTACTGAGACACTACACCATATATTCTTCTTTCGCCGCCCTACCTTGCAACCTACTTTAACTACAGAACAAAATTATGAAGCCTCACTGGACATCTGCTTTGGCTCTGCACACTTTCAACAAGAACTACAGTTTCATACTGGACCAGATATTGGAAGTGACCACAAACCCCTCATTATAAAATTTACTAACTTTCAGCCACCAACCCACCCCCTAACGCTCCCCAAGTGGAACATTAAGAAACTAGATAAGAAAAAATGGGCTGATACTGTCTGTCTCCCAGATACAGACGATGTAGACCCCAACACGCGACTGTCCACAATCACCTCGGCCATAAATTGTGCAGCCACCCAAATGCTCAAGAAAACTTCAGGACATAGGTCAAACAAACCACTTAAACCGTGGTGGAACGCGGAATGTGCACGAACAGTCGCTTTACGCCGACGAGCCATACAAAAACAAAGACGTCAACCCTCCCTACAGAACTGGGTTAATCTCCGGCGGGCTACAACAGAAGCCAAAAAAACCATACTGTCAGCAAAGCGAGCATCATGGGCAAAATTTTGTGATAGCCTCACACCCACTACGCCACATTCAAAAGTCTGGGCTACATTTAACAGCATTAAAGGTCGCCCAACATTCCCTTCGTTCCCCCTGACGATCAACGGTTCACTCTGTCAAACACCTCAGGAGCGTGCAAATGTTCTTGCTGAATGTCTTAAAGTTACCCTCTCAACACCCTTCTTTCATGCCCAAGAACTCCCCCTCAGACAAGAAATTGACCGTGCCATACTGCTACCCATGCCTGGCGTCGACAACATATACACCTTAAGCGAGCTACAATTAGCCTTAACCCACCTACCTCTTGGCAAGGCACCTGGAGAGGATGGAATTCCATATGAACTCATAAAACATCTCCCATCAACTGCACATAGTACTCTCCTAAACTATTACAACCTATGCTGGACTCACGGAAATATTCCCTCACAATGGCAGACCAGTATTATTCTTCCGTTCCTTAAACCAGGAAAAGACCCATCCCAACCTGCGTCATATAGACCTATTTCCCTACTATCATGTCTCAGTAAAGTCATGGAAAGACTAGTACATACTCGCCTCCAATGGTATCTAGAATATAATAATATTATACCGTCACTCCAAGCTGGATTTCGACCGCAATGCTCCACACTCGATCAAATACTTTGCCTTGAACATGAAATCCGCACCTCTCTCAGAAGCAGTAAATATTGTCTTGTTGTCTACTTAGACCTCAAAGGAGCTTTTGATAGCATTCCTCATACTTGCCTCCTCGCAAAGCTTGCGCGTTTAGGCGTACAGGGAAGATTACTTTTATGGTTAAAATCTTATCAGGTTAATCTTTTATGGTTAAAATCTTACGAACAGGACCTCTAAAGTCTATATACAAGGCGAGTTTTCCGATGACATCCCAATACAAACGGGTGTCCCACAAGGCTCCATACTAAGCCCAACCCTTTTTGCTGCATTCTTAGCAGATTTGCCTAACACCCATCCTGTTAACCTCTCGGCGTACGCCGACGACTTAACACTGTATTATTCAGACAACGCCTTACCTAATACAGTCTCAACAATGCAAACAGCACTTGATCACCTCATAGATTGGACACAACAATGGGGCCTTCAAGTTAGTACTACCAAAACCTATTATCAAATTTTCACTAAAAAAAGACTCGTTCATCTACCCACCCTCACAATACACAACACTCCCATCCAACACGTACGAGAACATAAATACCTTGGCATGCACTTAGACTCGCCCTCACTTACCTGGACAGCACACATTCAACACCTTAAACAGACGACACAACCCCGACTCGCCATACTGAAAGCCCTCACTGGCACCACCTGGGGAGCACACCATAAAATCCTGCTCCGTTTCTATACAACCAACATTCGCAGCCAAATAGACTATTGTTGCCAAGCATATGCATCGGCTGCGCCTACTAACCTACAGAGCCTAGAGGTCATCCAAAACAATGCCATGCGACTTATATGTGGCGCAATGCGTTCCACTCCTATCCTCGGACTTTACGGGGAAACGGGCCTCACAAGCCTAGCCACCAGACGAGACATAATGTGTGCCAACTATCTGTCACTCTGTACCACTGCTCACCAGACACACCCATACAGATCAAAAATTAACCCAACAGTTAACCCACATAACCCCCGCATCCCAACCAATCACTCACAACCTTTCCTCACACGGGCTACAAATAACCTCAATATAGACCTCTCTCTACTCCAAAACTCGGAAACCCAACTTACTGTTCCCCCTATTCCACCCTGGCTTTATACAACTCCTAATACAGCAATACAACTCGAAGACAACATTCCACATTCTGCACCAAACTCAGCCATAGCCTCAGTCTTTCTCTCAACAATGAAAAATTGCTACCCAAATACCACAGCGATTTATACAGATGGATCTCGCATCATCAAGAACAACGTACCCTCGGTCACTAGCGCTGTATGGATACCGGAATACCATCTCAAGCAGGGATGGCGGTTACCAAACCAACTATCTGTTTTCACAGCTGAATTATATGCCTTATATCAAGCTCTCCAAATAATCACAACATTACCAGTCGGGACATATACAATCTGCAGTGACTCCAAGAGTGCGATTCAAGCAATTACGTACTCTTCAAAAACGTGCAAGGAGTTTGTTTACCCATGTCTTCAACTTCTTCATGAACATCGATTGAACGGTTATGATACCTCTATCCAATGGGTCCCAGCGCATTGTGGTATTCTCCATAATGAACTAGTAGATCAACTAGCCAAAGCAATGCACAACACACCTCACATTACCCGTCATCCAATTCCCCATGTTGCACGTAAAGGAGCCTTCAAAAATACCATCACCCAAGATTTTGCGACGAAATGGAAAACGTCATGCTCACCTTTGTACTATGGGTCCATTAAAAAGAAATGGGAAACTTGGAAACATGTCAGATATAAAAGCAGAGAAATTGATATAGCGATGACCAGATTAAGGCTGGGACACACCAAACTAGCAGCACACAGCTCTAAGTACAGAACAGACATCAACGAACTCTGCATCCACTGTCAGGTGCCTGAAACAGTCGAACACTATCTCCTACATTGCTTCCGACACTATAGTGCCAGAGTAAATTTCAAACAAGAACTTATCTCACTTAAAATACCCTTTACCATCGAGCATATATTAGGAGGCGGTGACCACTCGTTACAAGAAAAATACCAAATAGTCAAAGCACTGGCTAAATATCTCCAGTCGACCAACAAACTGGGTCACATCTGACCCGCGCCACATTTATACCTGGCGCCACCAACAGCTAAACACAGAAAACAACTGCCTCGTCGCAACACCAAGGATCAGCTGACGCCATAAACACAACACACCGCCCTACGGTGCGGCAAGTCTCCCTCTAACATCCACCTCTGTTTTAGTCGCCGCTCCTCTGTCTACATCACAACGCAACAAGCACTTTTGAAACTCTTATCATCTTCAACATAAACGCCTCTACCAACATCTGTACTGGTGCAGTCATCGGGAGGACAAGCCCTTCATGCAAACTGCACCTACTATCAAGAAGAAGAAGAAGTTCTATTCAGTTGTGTATTTGTAAACTAAAGTCTTTGAAAATGTAATAAGTTTTACGAAACGCGCTCGTGTCGCGTCAGACTAGAAATAAAAATGAATTTTGGAGAATTGATTTTTGATTTACCTCCAACAGTGAAAAGAAATGTACGAAAGATTGAGAAAATTCGTGTTAGAATTATTAATCTTACTTTTTCGATCATATTTAATAATATATATATATATATATATATATATATATATATATATATATATATATATATATATATATATATATATATATATATATATATATAATATATCCTCCCAAACTCGCCCATGTATGCAGAGAGAAAATCACAATAACGTGGCTGAACATTAGACACAACCACACGTCTGAAGATACAGGCAGTGACGAGGTTTCGGTCCCCTCCCGGACCATTATCACGTAGTGTGAAGGAAGAGCAGATTGATGATTGGTGAAGATTAAGCCACCCAAGAGGTGGCACGGGTATGAATAACCCGTGAAAGGAAGAGTAGTGGAAAACGTCAGTAAAGGGTAAGAATATGAGGAGGACGTTAGAAGTATACCATAAGAGTTAATAGGAATAAAGAAAAGTACAGAGGGCCTAATGATGAGGAGAAATAGGGGAAATAGAGCAACCTGTCCTCCTACAGAGAACGTCGCTTTTCACTCGTATGCGTTACGAGTGAAAATTTTTGGCCTACGAGTTAGGCCAAAAATTGTCGTGCTGGAAAATGGAAGAGGGTCCAGAAAGTGAGGTGCTGTCCCGTTTTCTGTTTGGGGTCCTTTTGGTAGGTTAGGAGAGAACACTTTAAATTGATCGTTTTCTTGACGTTTTGAAACCTTAGGAGAACGGACTGAATAGAGACAAAGAGAGAGCAAGAAAAGAGGAAGAAAAGAAAGAGATCCAATCTATAAGATGACTGGAGTCTCAAACATGACAGAAATGAACATTGTTCGCGTCTGCAGACTTAACACTTCTTTTGTGTCCTTTGCAGTTAACTGTTGTTTTTCTCAGTTAGGGAAAAGCTAAACGCTCTAAGCTTCTTAAAAAAACGTCACCTGACTTAGCTTTAGCCATACTAGGGTCACAGCCGCCAGCTATATACAGTAACTTTGGCGTGACTGTGTCTGTGTGTGTGTGCATTATGTACACAAGTTGATGTGTGGTAGTGTCAGGTTAGTCACCATGATGATGGGTGTCAGTGTCACCATGATTGTGGGTGCGAGGTGGTGGTGGGGGGAGGAGTCACCATTATGGGTACGGAAGGGTCACCATGATAGCGGGTCCGGATTGTATGGGGGAGGGGTCGACACTATATGTTTACCTCCTGGCACTTTTTAAGAACCTTATTTGGTCCTTCAGAGTTCATTATTGTAACGCTTCACATATCCTTCAGACACTTAGCTTGATTGTTATTTTTACGAATCAGAATATTGGTGATTGTGTTCTTCTTCTTCCTCGTGAGAACGCAAGAGAGCGCTCGGTGAGGAAATATTGAGATCATACAATCGGATCGACCTCCCAACCCTGGGCTCCTATGATCTAGTTCTTTCCCCCACGGTCACCATAACCCCTTTGTTTAAACCTAACAATAAGTCTGTCCTTAAACCTATTTACAAATTTTACAATGAAATCTTTGCCTCGTCCTCCCTGATGTGAGCCTCCCTCAAGCGTCTTCACAGCCCCTTACCTCAACCTTGCCCTCGTGTGCTGCCCTCACGACCTACCTTGAGGTTGGTCTCTCCGTCGAGGTTGGCGGTGATGACGTCGCAGGTGGCCTCCGGGTGGTGGGAGGCCAGGAGGACGAGGTCGCAGGGGAACTCCTCCTCGTCCGCCACCTCCACCACGTCCCCCACAATGATGTCCCGCCGGCGCACCTCCTGCCTCACCCCACGCAAGATTACTCTTAAATTAGTTGGCCTTTAGGCGAGTGATTAGATAAGCTATTAATTGTCTGCTTGGCTTAGTCATTAGATTTGGCAATTGGTTAATTTTTATCTTTGGTTAATTGAACGATTGGTTAGGAAAGACTGTGTCCAGTTAATGATATATTTCTGAGAGCATGAATCAGCAGACAACAATATTTAAGATGAGAGCTTCTTGAATTAAACTACCTCTTTAATATATATATATATATATATATATATATATATATATATATATATATATATATATATATATATATATATATATATATATATATATATATATATATATTCCACTCAAGATTATAATCCACTTGCAACTTAAATTGCAGCAATAATCATAAAATCAGGCTCTGAAATATCTAATAAGATAATAAAGAGATTGTTTAGAACAAATCTGACCATAATGAGATAATAAAGCAAAAATCAGGAAGTTATAGAAACAGAATATCTACCTGGAAATTAACACCAATTAATATCTTTGTCATTAATATACAAAAATAATTCTCCAGACATAATCATTATTATCTGAGCATGAAATTACACTCTCGTGTCATGGGGTTGAATTCCCTCCTGCCTGTTGCTCCCACCATGATGAAGCAGAGTCTGCTTATCAAGAATTACAACCAGAAATTTGGCCATAACGAAACCACTAATGAGATATCGTGTCCTAATCTTTATGTTTGTAACGTTGTAATGTGTAATCTTAGACATAAAACATTAATGAGAGAGGGGGCTCTGGTGATCCTCGAGATCCTCACAGGCTTAAGAGTTCATGAGGGAAGGCTTAGTCCTGCCTCCTCTTCCCACTTTCCTCATTCATTCACAGAGGAGGACTGGTCGTCCTATCCGCTATTACTCTCTTACTCTCATGCGCTCACCAATAACATTTCAGCATTCTCTAAGGAGAAGCATTTTGATTCGTCAGGGCCCCGAAGACCAAGCCCGCTTAGGTCTATGCTAAAACTGAGAACGTCATTCTTAAATTTCTTAGCTCCGGTCACCTACAAGGTGATTGTCCTGAACTTAGTGGGTGAACCCAGTGGATGAACTGGCCATCCACTCAGTACACTTCAAGTTAATTCCTACAAGCATAGCTGATTGGACAACCTGTGCCACTTCACCTGCTGACCGTTCCACACTTTCTTTGACGACTTGTTTCGTACCTGCTACGAGCAGTCACCTCTTGGTGCCTAACCCCACAAGTGACGCGAAAGTGTGTGTGTGTATCTCTGTGAAACTGTACATATAATCTTACCGTGACCATGTTTAACGCAGTACTCACCGTAACGACACCGTCCCGCAGGACTCTGGAGGCGGCGTTGTTGACCTTGTTGTCCTCTCGGTGACGGAGCCAGTCCTCGTAGCCCTGCTTCACCGCCGTCACCGCCACCACGAACACCAGCGGCAGGATGCTCGTCATCGGTGACACGGGACTGTCGATGGTTAGCTGAGGGAGGATGTAACAACTCATCTCCACAACACGATCTCTGTTTTTAGACTTTCAACAGATTTACGTTCCTCCTAACACACACACACATATAAACATGTTTTTAAAAGGGATGTTACATTGGGTCAGTCCGCCCTACAGAACAGACGACTTCTGACTCTATTAGCTAGCTGAGACCTTTCTCATCCCGTTGCTCATGGTTAGCCTTACCCACTAGTTTTTCCCGAGAACACGACCTGTCAATCAGGTCGAACAATGAATGAAACTGCAGTGAATTCATACAATGAATTCTTAAAATCGGTTAATAACCAAGTATCCAGTTACTGCTGGGTAAACAGAGGCGACCAGTTAAGGATTGTGGCAGGATTCACTGTCTGGTCGCCAGAGAAAGCGGAGGGATTTGTTGAATATATATATGCTTAGATAACATTAATAAAACCATTAAAATCGTATAGTGTACTCTATATATCAAAATATATTATTTTGAAACCCGTATCAGTCACTAAACAAAAAATTGAGCAACTCTTATTAAAAATTCGTTACTTTTAGCCCATCAGCTCGCTACTTTCAGCAATTTGGATCTGGCAACCCATCACCCAAGCATGGAGTTGGTAATTAGGTGCCTGGCCAGTGACCTGTGTGGTACCATGCTTGTGCAAGGTACGTTTTTGCGTTACGATGGGGTCGTCTGTGTCTCCTCTTAAGCGGACGTTTTTGGCAGGACTCGAGTTTTCGACACGAGTTGACCATCTAGCGCTTGAGTCTGCACTAGTGGAGGTGCTCCACGTGAAGTTGACAGACCTGGTGGGAGTGCAGATCGTTCAGGAACGCCGTGTGGTGGTGAAATTTGTTCTCCCAGATGTGTTCCGGAAAGTACCTTGATCGGTGTGAGGGTTGCTCGTTCCCTGGGACAGGTGGTGCTGGTACGGTAAGGGTGGTCAACTTGAGTGTGACAGTGACATACGTGACAGTGTATGGTGCACCTTTTGAAATGACGGATGGGCTGTTAACCAGGCTGTTTGGGCAGTTTGGGAAGGTGTTAAGCGTGAGGAGGAAGGGAAGGGAACATGTAGAATAAAGTTTCCGCTGCTTATTGTAAAGGACAGTTACAGCCCCACTTTTGTGCCAGGTAAGTCCAATACGGGCTCACCATAACCCGTGCTGCTTGGAACTTTTTGTTCCTATAAGGTGAATCTTAAACAACAACATTGTAAGGGGGATCCTTGCTGGCACCAGGACCCTGACGATGCCCCGGACGCATGACACCATCTTCACTTACCCCGATTCAAATTCAAAATTCAAATTTTTATTCAGGTAAAAGTACATTACATTGATGATGAGTTACAAACATAATGTTGGATTTATAGATAGAGCTAGTACATACAATACCTAAAGCCACAAATACGCATAGTGTTTCGGGATTGGGTTTACGCATCGATGTATGAATTCTGGTGAGCCGTGTACCTGTTATTACAGGTGTGGTCTACCGGGTCATCTGGCGGCAGCTTGCTCCGTGGAGGCGGTTACAACATGTTCTTAAAACAATAAATGAATGAAACTTACAAAAATAGACTAGTGGACCAGAGAACGGAGGCCTGGTCGACGACCAGGCCGCAGGGACGCTAAGCCCCGGAAGCACCTCAAGGTGACCAAGAGCTACTTCAATTAACAGCAACCCCGTGCTGTTGATATGTATGCTGTTAATATATGTGCTATGACCCTTAACGTACAAAATACGAGGCACTATGAAAAGCCGCAGCTCACGAACATCCACGTTTTCTAGTTGGATGTTGGAAGCTAACAGTTGGTCCGTTAGCTTAGGGTGGGTGGCATGGGCCGGCGCTCTGTTAGTACCATATACTTTGTCCGTTGTGGCAACAGGAGAGAACGGGCTGGTTGAAGAGCGATGTTGACTTACGTGAATGATGGCCAGACATAGGAAGTAGAAGTTGGCCAATCTCCGGAACTGTTCAAACAGGTTCTTGGGCAGGAAGGTCACCAGCGTGTACTGCCGACACGATAATGGCTCAGTTATTCAGTGTTTAATATGACAAAATTATATATAAATATTATATAAATATATAAATGTGTGTGTGTGTAAATCACGAAAATTAATTACGTGATGAAAAATGTGACAGTGTCAGACCACGGAGGAAGAATTGAAACGGGAAGTAACTCAAGTACTTTCGTATATTATTACATCTTCAGAAGGAATGTATTCCTTCTGAAGATGTATTAATATACGAATGCACTTAAGGAAAGTTATTTTTCAATTCTTCCTCCGTGGTCTGACACTGTCATATATATATATATATATATATATATATATATATATATATATATATATATATATATATATATATATATATATATATATATATATATATTAGATTTGGAGAAATATGAGCATTTGTCTACTGGGAAAAATATCAAATGAATTTATATAATTGTAGCGAGATGAGCGGTGTAAAAATAATAACATCAGAATTTAAAGTATAGAATTAATGCAGTCTTGAGGGAAAATGTTAAGCATTTTCAGCTTTTGAAGAATACAAAAAAAAAAAAAGATATATACTGGTAGTGTTAAATTTTAATTAGCATAAATTTCTCATGGCTGACTCTTCAGCATACAAAGTTTTCAGGGCATGAAGGTTTCAGAGCCTAATTCTTTCGGAGTATGAAGCCAGGTCTTCACTGCTAGAATTAGCAGATGACAAATCTATTGAGAATAAACATTGTGTAAGACCTGAACTGCAACAAAGGTGAGGAGGATGTGGTGAGGCAGCACACACGTCGCGGAACCTTTTCCCTATGTGAATATATTTTTTAAACATTTACCTAGAGAGAGAGAGAGAGCATGGGCGGCTGTGGTGGGTGGAATGTAAGGATTGTAATGGGAGGTGGGTGGGAGGACGTCCCGGGGTGGGAGGATATTTGATGGGGGATTGGGTTTTTCCAATTATCAGGCACACCACCACTTTCCCCCATGCTCTGCAGGCAACAATTCACACCCATTCCTTTCACCTCTGTATTTAATAGGGTTCGCAAATATATATCTCCTGGACGACCTCCTGGTCGTCCCTTCACTTTCTAGTGTGTGGTCTGGTCAACATATACACATTTATTTCACCAATTCCACCCAAGAGATGTTTATAGTGGCGTCTCCACCTACTTCTAATTTATGTCCCACCATTTAGTATTTTCACCTTTATCTTTAATGTTTCCATTTCCTTTTTTTACATGTTTTCTTCCAACTCTTTTTGTAATATTTTGACCTTTTAAATCGTTCGTGATGTACTATGCCCCGTATACCATTCAGTTAAGTCTAAATAAATAGTACTGTGAAATCGTTTACACTGTAGTATATACAAGCCACAGAGATATTAGAAAGAACTTGTTTAGTGTCAGAGTGGTTGACAAATGGAATGCATTAGGAAGTGATGTGGTGGAGGCTGACTTCATACACAGTTTCAAGTGTAGATATGATAGAGCCCAATAGGCTCAGGAATCTGTACACCTGTTGATTGACGGATGAGAGGCGGGACCAAAGAGCCAGAGCTCAACCCCCGCAAACACAAGTAGGTGAATATATCACAATGATCTTACCTTAGAGGTAGTTATGGAGTTGTCTGGGAAGTGTGTGATGGGCGCCGTGTTGACCAGTTGGGGCGGCCTGTTGACCTCCACCCTCCGCGTCCCTCCCTCCCCCGCCTCCTGCTCCACACACACAGTCAGATTAGACAAAAATAATAGACAAAACCTAAGATGTAAGTTTACAAATTCTTGAAGCAATCCACGTAACAATAGAACAACCCACCATATATATATATAGAGAGAGAGAGGTTATTGAGATATATTTTTATATGAAATCTGTAGGCGTCACATACCATTATGGTCAGTGATGGTTTCCAGAATGTCTTCAGTATTGCTACATTTCCATCAGTTCCATTCCACTTATTAATTACACAAGATAAGTGTTAATGTATGTATCTTGAAGCGCGACACTTAGACTTGAGGTCTCAGTTACTGAAACAATGGCTTCTGAGGCGATTCCTTGGTCCGCGTTGTATTAAATTACTCGGGTCGTTATGTATGTCTTCCCGCGTCTTCCATTTTTCTGTGTTGGGGATTATGCATTCTTGGTACTTCTAAATACACACTTCTCGCCTCTAAATGGTCACTTCCCGCTTCTTAATGTCCACTTTCCGCTTGTAAATGGTCACTTTCCGCCTCTAAATGTCCAGTTTCCGCCTCTAAATGTCCACTTTCCGCCTCTAAATATCCACTTTCCGCCTCTAAATCGCCACTTACCGCCTCTAAATGTCCACTTTCCACCTCTAAATCGCCACTTACCGCCTCTAAATGTCCACTTTCCGCCTCTAAATCGCCACTTTCCGCCTCTAAATGTCCACTTTCCGCCTCTAAATGTCCACTTCCCACCTCTAAATGTCCAGTTTCCACCTCTAAATGTCCACTTTCAGCCTCTAAATGTCCACTTTCGTGTTTATCCTGCTGGTTGATTCGTGTTCCATTTCTGCTGTAGGTAGTCACCTCCTCCCGAGCAGTGTGTCAAGTCCATAACGTGACACAGTATGCCAGTTGGCCGCGGTACCACACTCACACTCACACACTATACAAGAACGCCAACACCTGCGAGTGACACGGGCCACCACCTCCACCATAGAATCAGTTACAGTCTGCCACTCTTCCTCATAGTCAACCTCTCTCTAGCTGCCAACGGCACGCCGCTTATCAGCGGACGTGATAACGCTGAAGCACTCGCTGATGGCGACCCTGACAATCGAGTGTTGATTGTGTGTGTTATATGGTGTTAGTCAATATTGATTGTGGAGTTTGTATGTTGTTACTTCCTGGGTAGTCTGTGTTGATGAGAAAGAAGAGATATTTGAGCAGATAAGAGCAGATTGTGTGGTTTGTATGTTGGTAGTTCCTGCTAGCCTGTGTTGATTGTGAAGTTTGCACAGAGTAAGTCCCAATTGCTGAACACCAATCACACGACCCACACATCAACAGACCTGCAAGTGACGAGATTTCAGCCCGTCCTGGACCCCCTTATAAATCATTAAATAACAAATCAATGTTTATTCGGGTAAAAGTACATACATACAAGATGAGTTACAAACTGAATGTTGGATTTCTAGATAGAGCTAATACATACTATCCCTAAAGCCACTAGTACGCACAGCGTTTTGGGGGATACTGGGAGTGGGACGTAGCTGTCTGTCTCCCTTATCAAATGGAGGCTGAGACAGAGGGGAGGAAGCCACTACAGTGAGAGACAGGAGGTCGCGTGGGAAGACAACAGGTGACAGGTGGATGGACAAAGTTAAGTCTGAAAAACGGAGCAAAAGGCAGCCCCCTAGGGACAGAATTAACAGGGGAAAAGCGCCAAGCCATTAGGACTATATAGCAAGCAACCCCTGAATGATGATTTAAAATAGATAATGTTAGCATATAAGGATTAGAGGGTCAACGCGAAATGTAAATAAATGAAAGGAGAAAAGGAAAAAGAAATATTGAAATAAAAATAGAGATACAAAAAAATGAGAACAGAAGAGACAGGTGAGCAGATAGCTGAGTCACATCACACTTGCTAAGACGTGTATTTACCTGTGTATTCTGAACGGCGAGAGTCAACAACAACAGTGACAGGAATAACGTTCAGGTTGTGTATGAGGCTCATGTTGGGCATGTTGTGTATGAGGCTCATGTTGGGCATGTTGTGTATGAGGCTCATGGTGGGCATGTTGTGTATGAGGCTCATGGTGGGCATGTTGTGTATGAGGCTCATGGTGGGCATGTTGTGTATGAGGCTCATGTTGGGCATGTTGTGTATGAGGCTCATGTTGTGTATGAGGCTCATGGTGGGCATGTTGTGTATGAGGCTCATGTTGTGTATGAGGCTCATGGTGGGCATGTTGTGTATGAGGCTCATGTTGTGTATGAGGCTCATGTTGGGCATGTTGTGTATGAGGCTCATGGTGGGCATGTTGTGTATGAGGCTCATGGTGGGCATGTTGTGTATGAGGCTCATGTTGTGTATGAGGCTCATGGTGGGCATGTTGTGTATGAGGCTCATGTTGGGCATGTTGTGTATGAGGCTCATGCTAGACATGTTGTGTATGAGGCTCATGGTGGGCATGTTGTGTATGAGGCTCATGTTGGGCATGTTGTGTATGAGGCTCATGTTGGGCATGTTGTGTATGAGGCTCATGGTGGGCATGTTGTGTATGAGGCTCATGGTGGGCATGTTGTGTATGAGGCTCATGGTGGGCATGTTGTGTATGAGGCTCATGTTGGGCATGTTGTGTATGAGGCTCATGGTGGGCATGTTGTGTATGAGGCTCATGGTGGGCATGTTGTGTATGAGGCTCATGGTGGGCATGTTGTGTATGAGGCTCATGTTGGGCATGTTGTGTATGAGGCTCATGCTAGACATGTTGTGTATGAGGCTCATGTTGAACATGTTGTGTATGAGGCTCATGCTAGACATGTTGTGTATGAGGCTCATGTTGAACATGTTGTGTATGAGGCTCATGGTGGGCATGTTGTGTATGAGGCTCATGGTGGGCATGTTGTGTATGAGGCTCATGGTGGGCATGTTGTGTATGAGGCTCATGTTGAACATATTGTGTATGAGGCTCATGTTATGTATGAGGCTCATGTTGAACATGTTGTGTATGAGGCTCATGTTATGTATGAGGCTCATGTTGAACATGTTGTGTATGAGGCTCATGGTGGGCATGAATGAAAGCCTATTCAACAAGATGACGTCTGTAGAGAGTAGAGGAAGGAAAGATTATTTAGGAAGAAGATCAATCTACATGCAGACTAACCAGTCTATATGATGACTAAGAGTCCCTAACATGAGAGAAGGAAGCATTGATTGTGTGGGCACTGTTTTGTGTTCCCATGGGAGTGTCATTAAGAAAAGGTCCCAGTCTCACCAAAGCATTAGAGGCGCAGGAAATAGAGTAGACATTAGCACCATTTCTTTCCACATGTGTGTGTATAAGGTTATCTGTGTTTACACATCAATAAATTGTCCAAATAAATTAATTATATTTACTGTGAACTCTAGCGAGTGGGGATAAGGAGGGAGGGAAATCGTCAAACCATTACGACTATATAGCATTAGGAAGACGTCAGGATAAGGATTTGGGGTGGGACCGGGGGAAGGGGGAGGGGGAATGATGCCCAACCACTTGGACAGCCGGGGATTGAACGCCGACGGGCATGAAGCGAGACCATCGCTCTACCGTCCAGCCCAATTGGTTGGTAATGATGAGTCCTGTGTGGTAGAACATTACCATCACAGTCGAGGGCTTCCCGGGTCGCGTGGTCTCTTTCAGTACCTGCTCCGACTGCAGGGTGTGTCGAGTGCCATCACCACTCCCACACTCCCAGAGTGAAGACGACCGTTTGGCACCTCAAAGCCCATGATCTGCTCGATATACGAGGTACAGATCTGTTAAGTGAGCACGCACGCGCTTAGTGAATCGTGGTCCAAGCGGCGTCGTGGTTCACCTTGACGCCCCATGCTGGGAGCGGCCAGTGACGGGGGATGTCCGCTCTATTTTCCGCTCCGTAAAAATCTGCATTTTTACTGACCAGGACCGTGCGACCCGAGGCAATTTACGCTTTCGATGCAATTAATTCGCCAATATTTCAGTGCGTTAATGGTTACTAATACACAGGGTTTATAACGGATTGGTCGACTTCGTATTAAATGCGCCATGTTAGGTGAGAGGTCGGGATGACCTGTCCACCAGGAGTGACGTAGGAGTACAACGCCTCCCAGGGCCCTCCCAGGGGCCTCCCAGGAGCCTCCTAAGGGCCTCCCAGGGGCCTCCTAGGGGCCTCCCGGGTCCTCCGGACGCTGGGATGGCAAACATTTCCATGGCCAACCTGTCACTTTGATCTGGACTCCCCACACCGTTACGCTAACTTCTGGTCCAGTCTTTTTGTGGGTGAAATGGGGTAACGCAATCACTACTTAATGCTTAACAAAAGAGCAAGTCAATCATTGAACATGGCGCTACAGTGGTGTAGGAGAGAAGGCTGAGGTAATTTACAATCTACGAGAACCAGGGAAAGACACATGGCAAATGAGGAGAATGACCAAAATGAAAAAACACTAATTCTACATTCAATTCATACCGGAGAAGTAACAATGGAAATGTAACATTTCTGCAGGCTAGGTAAGTTTCAGAGTGACCTAAATTGGCCAGTAAAAGCTATTTTTATGAATAACAAGCCAGTTAAAACGTACTGGCAGTGTCTGTTAGACAAGACATGTCTAAGAAAGATAAAAGGGCAACAGAGAGAATCAGGGGAAAAAAATCAAATGAGAAATGCAAGGAAACCAAAAAAATGGCACAGACAGTGCACAAGAAGAACTAAATCTGACAGCAGAGAGTACTATAGAGGGAGATAATGGGGCTGACCAGCTTAATGCTGCAACAGAGGTGCCACAGATACAGCAGGGCTGCTCAGCCTAAAGAGGTGTCAATATAGACACGAGAGGCTAGATCATCATACCCCCTCTCTCCCTGTCATACGTAAATGTGGCCACATGAACAATTACCTCTTGGGAAAGAAAAAAGTAGCCCAATTGTGATGAATAGCATAAAAGTAATTAACACAAATGCAGATAAAATTACAAATAAAGGGAGGGTAGACTTATAGGAAAGATTGACAAAAGAAGAACCACACATGATCACAATACTGAAACGAAACTGAATGATATTGTAGGAAATACAATCTTCCCGCAAGGATATCAAGTAATAAGGAAAGATAGGTTGAACAAAGAGAGAGGGAGTGTTTGCTTCACTTACACTGGAACCTTGAAGAAGTAAAATGATCAGATGAATCTGACCAAAAAGAGTAGGTGCTAACAAGCACAACAGTGAGAGAGTTGAAGATAGTGGTAAAGGGGATTTACAATCCCTTTCCAAATAATAGAGACCTAGTGAAGAATACGACACATCCACTGAGAATTGTCTGAAGGTAAAAGCATCCACAGGGGCAGGGGAAGAGAGGGAACTATCAGCGGAAAGCGCCAAGCCATTACGATTGCATAGCCCCTTGGAAGGGGTCAGGATAAGGATTTGGGATGGGACGGGGGGAAAGGAATGGTGCCCAACCCCCTTAGACGGTCCGGAATTGAACGCCGACCTGCATGAAGCGAGCCCGTCGCCCCACCGTCCAGATCAAGTAGGGCTAAGATTAAAATAGGGGAATTTTAACCACAGGGAAATAGACTGGATAAATAAGAATCCCCCACGTGAGTGATGAGACATGGAGAGCAAAACTGGTAGACACGGCAGACAGATAATTCTTGAAGCAGCGTATTACAGAACCAACAAGAGTGAGAAGAGCTTCAGCAACATTAGACCTGCAGACCAGACCACACACTAGAAGGTGAAGGGACGACGACGTTTCGGTCCGTCCTGGACCATTCTCAAGTCGATTGTGATGAGGAAGTAGAGACAAGCAACTACAGGTAGAGACAGTCTCTACTTCCTCATCACAATCGACTTGAGAATGGTCCAGGACGGAACCGAAACGTCGTCGTCCCTTCACCTTCTAGTGTGTGGTCTGGTCAACATACTTTAGCCACGTTATTGTGACTCATTGCCTGCATTAGACCTGCTGTTTTCCAAAAATATGACAGATGAAAAAAATAGAGCATGACATGCCTCTAGGAGCTAGCGACCACTGCATTATCCTTCCTG